GAACAAGTTCCAAGTAGCACGGGCTATGGTGAGCCCGTAGTGGACTTACCTGGCACAGGAGTGGGCAAGTAGACGGGCTATGGTGAGCCCGTAGGGACTTACCTGGCACAGGAGCAGGGCAAGTAGCACGGGCTATGGTGAGCCCGTAGTGGACTAACTGGCACAGGAGTGGGGTAAGTAGCACGGGCTATGGTGAGCCCGTAGTGGACTTACTGGCACAGGAGCGGGGCAAGTAGCACGGGCTATGGTGAGCCCGTAGTGGACTTACCTGGCACAGGAGCGGTGCCGTTTGTCGTGGTGGAGTTTCTTCACCGTTAATACCTCGGTGTTCCTGGTGACCGTTGAGAGTACAGCAGCAGGGGGGCTCACGCAAGATTGACTTGGGTATATCACCTGACCCGGGGTCACCATGGTTTATTACGGGTTATTCATGCCCGTGCCACCTCTTGGATGGCTTAATCTTCTTCAATCATCAATCACCATGGTGACATGAAGACACTATTTGTTACCACTACATTTACCATTTACATTTACCACTAATGACGTCACTGTCAGCACCCAGTATAGGGAAAAGTATCCACAGACGGTAAACTTTTACACCACCAGTAACACCGGCCGCGTCCTCTGGAGTTGCCACTACGAACATATTACGGTGTACTAATACCAACCCGTTCTCGCAAATTCGTAAAGTCAATATTGACTTATTAACTACGTACATAGGTGATATACTAAACATAATAGATACCCTTAAAAAGCTTCATAGAAAACACCGACCTTACCTAACCTTGTTAGTATCTTACGATAAGCATCTTATTGCTTCGTAATTACAATTATTACTTAACCTATACCTATTATAGGTTAGGTAATAATTGTAATTACGAAGCTATAAGATGCTTATCTTAAGATACTAACAAGGTTAGGTAAGGTCGGTGTTTTCTATGAAGCTTTTTAAGGGTATCTATTATGTTTAGTATGTCACCTATGCACTTATTTAATAAGTCAATATTGACTTTACGAATTTGCGAGAACGGGTTGACTAATACAGGCGAACCTAACTATTGGAAGCACGTATAGAAAACGTGGTTGCTTGCGAGCCGATGTGACTTCTAGTACGTCGTATTATGTCCGTTGGGGGATTTTGGCGTCTAAATACAATGTAGTAGTTGAGAGTACAGGCTGCAGGGTATTGCATTTACCGGCAGTACTTCAGTCACAGTACGTCCTCAAGAGAGTAACATTCACGACACTAGATCAGTGGTAAAGGTAAAGAATGGTAAAGTATGGTTATGTACTGCCATAACTAGAGAATGGCACCATTCTCAATCGACTTGAGAATGGTCCAGGACGGACCGAAACGTCGTCGTCCCTTCACCTTATAGTGTGTGGTCTGGTCAACATGGTACCAAGAGGCGGAGCCTTGCCCTGGTGGACTAACTGGCGTCGGTTCCCTCATTCTGTGTGCCCAGAAGTCTATTGAAGTCTATTGAATTCTATTGAATACGTGACATTGATTTATACACTAACGGGTTTCGATACCTGGTTCCATATTTAAATCCCACGCTGAAGGCATATCACTCTAAAAGTAAAAAGTTATAGGCCTGGCTATCATCCTTCCAAGGTGGATCACTTATGATCCCTGACCTCGGACGCCAAGGTGATTGTGCATCTCCCACACGCGTCATCAACTCTTTTAGACTGTCTACCTCCTTGAATCAACGAGTATATAGCTGCTTCTCGCCCCCTTCTACGTCATTAGAGCGGCTCGAACAAAAATATCTACGTCTGACCTCGAAATATACCAGTTTACCTTCAGGATATCCGGCTATCACAGGGGAGAAGATAAGAGATACAGTGGATGAGGAGGAGGAGGAGGAGGCAGCAGCGACGAATAGGTGGGATCTCGAGGATTAATAACTGCATCTTGAGACGCTGAAAACCTTGGCACGCCTGACTGCGGCTTTGAGTGTTTTCATTCTTAAGAATGATGAATAAATATATACTTTTTTCCTACTGATTTAATGAATTTAACTATTATTTTAGGGTAAGTTATGCCACTGTGACTGTTGAATGTTTGCCCTGCCACCGTGGCTGGCTAGAGGATTGGGGCAGGTGGCACTCCAGCTGCCTATAGGACGAGGACACGTAACCTGAGTGACAGTGGGCCGAGGGACAACCCGGACAAGGACGAGGTGGTGAAGGTTCACGGATTGCGTCATTATTTACCGACACTATGACCTTCCTGGGGCGCCTATTTCCACCCACCACTCCCCCGGTGGACAAGAAGTTGTGCCCCGAGGGGCGAGTTTATTGATTGGGCAGCGCCACTCATCCTGTGAGTGGACACTACCGCCGCCTCCGTCATCTGGGAGGAGTGGATATGATTCCCACCCTCACCCCTCATCCCCTCACTCACCTTGCAGTGACTTAATGAGTGTGACTCACTCGGCTACTCAATGAGCAGTATTTCTGGCTATGGCGCGGGCTAACACCCCCTTACAGATTTGGTGGGATTATTTATGCCATTGCTTACGTTAGCGGCCTGGGGTGAGTGAGGGGGGGGGGAGCTACGTTGGTGACCGCGCGGGCTGAGCGGGTCTGCTCGCGTTATCCAGGGCAGGAACAGGTTCGAGGCTTGCACATAAAGTGGTAAGGTGAGGAGTGAGGCAGGGTGTGAGGGAGGAGGAGTGAGCCAGGGTGAGGAGGAGGAGGTGGAGTGAGAAAGGGTGTTGGGGAGGAGGAGGAGTGAGGCATGGTAAGGAATAAGATAAGGGTAAGAAGTGATGAAGGGTGATGTTTAAGATATGGCAAAGTAGAAGGTGGGGTGTAGAGAGAGAGAGATCGGGCGAGGCATGATGTAGGGTGAGGCATACCGAAGGGTGAGTAGTACGGTGGGATGAGGAATATGGTGGAGTGAGATAAGGTCATGAGTAGGATAGGTAGAAGACTGAGATAAGATAATGAGTAAGATAGTGTGAAGACTGAGATAAGGTGATAAGATAGGAGTGAGGTAGAACACACATATGAGTAGTAACATGCAGGGGGATTGAGTCATGAGGCAGAACATGAGGAGTAAGATAAAAAGTGATGCTCAATGAGGACTGAATGAATAAATAATGAGAGAATGAGTGAGATGAGGAAAAAATTTATTTAGCGAAGACTAAATAAACATCGACAATGAACCATTGACACTTTTGTTGTAGTTAGAGAACTCTAGACTTAAACGTTTCTCCTGCTCTGGCTAACGTTTCTCCTGCTCTGGCTAACGTTTCTCCTTCTCTTACTAACGTTTCTCCTGCCCTAACTAACGTTACGTTCAATCTTTCGTTAACTCCATTATGGTCCCCTGTAACCTTCTGAAAATGAGTGTTCAGGCTGGGAACGTAAAAAATAAGCAAGATGTGGTTAAAACAAAATTTGCAGACACGTTCATTTGGTACTTGTCTTTTATAGTATGGGTTGAAAAAATAATTTTGGTAAGTGAAATTAGCCCATAGGGCATGAGAAAAGACATCCTGTAAGCATCTCCGGTTACAACGAATCCCTCGCTGCAACGAATCGGGGCCGGTTTCCCTGTCGTTCGATGAATCGAGGTATTTTATATATACAGTATATATATTTGTGTGTAAATTCCTGTGTGTTTAGTGTGGCTGGGTGTGGCCAGGTGGGGCGGGAGGCAAAACACTGCCAAGGACGGTGTATTGAGGTCACACGCCATGGCGTTATTTACGTATTCAAACAGCTAAATATAGAAGTGTCATGCCAGAGAATAGAGCGAGGGACCTCACATGACGTGGCCGGAATTGTTTGGCTCTTGCACTCCACCGTTTATGGCGCTTCGGTACTATAGTGGGTGCTTTACGGAATGTTGACGTTGTGTTTAGTAAATAAGGCACAGAGACATTGGTTGTGACTACCACATGAGTCTTACGGGCTAGGTGCCTGACACGAGATGATGGTCCTTGGTCGGTATATGATATTGAAAGGGAGTAATATCATCATGTAAATGTTTTTTTCCTTCTGGGCTGGGGGGGGGGGGGGGGGGGGGGGCAGGGGAGCTCAGAGATGAGTCGTTTGAAATTTAAGAATAGATTTTGCTCTGTTGACATACTTGTGAGGAGGAGCTGATTGAAGTACCGAGGAGGAGGGATGTATATACGGAAGGAGAACCCGACGTCACGATGGAAACATGTTTTGACATTTCGAAGATGTTTCTGACGGCTTGAGAGGTTGTGAGACGCGAGTGTTTCTGGACCAGTTATGGGCAGTGGACTGACAGACAAGAGAGGCTTCGTATCGGGCACCGTTAGCTGTCAGTTGTCATACATTTCTCTGAATGGCCCTCTAGATATTACCGATGACTCTCTGGTGCTGTGGATATCTGTCTTCGTGCCATGGATCTCGTATTGGCATCCTTGGTGATATTTAGCGCCCTCTGATTATCCCGCACATTTGATGGTGCTACATAGCCTTCCCGGTTTGGTGCCTTCTATTGATAATTACTTACTTACCTAAAGCCATGGATAGCTCTTTGGTGGCTGGGATGACTAAGTAGTGTTGTTATTGATATGTTGTTGTTATAGATTCAGCTACTCTGAACAAGTTCCAAGTAGCACGGGCTATGGTGAGCCCGTAACTTGCCTGGCACAGGAGCGGGGCAAGTAGCACGGGCTATCTCCCGTCTGTGTGTTATTGATAGTAATGTTCTGGCTTTATGCGTGTCATTGATGGTAATGTTGTGTTGCAGGCAGAAGGGCGGGCGTGAGGTGGCGGCGGGAGCGCACTACACCACGACGGAGACGCAGCACGCTGCGCAGCTCATCATCCATGGCGCCACCTCCCACGACTCTGGCACCTACACTGCCCTCGTCACCAGGCACGACGGGACGCAGGTACTGTGCCAGCCCAGATCAGGGTGCGGTGACGACCGGATAGGTAGGCTAAGATAGATGAGATGAGATTGGGTTAGGACAGGACTAGAGCAGAACAGGATTGAATAAGGACAGGCCAGGGGGTTCTCGGCGGGTTGGTTACACTTGTTAGAAGCAGGTTATGTAGACAAAAGTGACTTCGAGTTAGTTAGAGATGACCAGGTTTTACAGAGGCTTAGAACAGTGTAAGACGCAATAAGTACGGCAGGACTAGAGACCTGCTGAGTAGGGCAGGGGTTTTGGTGTTGCTGGGTACGGCTCGGCTAGGGTGTTGCTGGGTACGTCAGGGTTACAATGCTGCGGGGTACGACAGAGCTAGGGTGCTGCTGAGTACGCCTGGGTTAGGATCTTACTGGGTACAGGAAACCTAGGGTACTACTGGGTACGGCAGGTATAGGGTCCTGGGTTCGGCAGGCCTAGGGTCCTACTGGGTACGGCAGGCTTAGGGTCCTAATGGGTACGGCAGGCTTAGGGTAGTCTGAACATGAGAACATTACGAGTCCAGTAACTGTATCACGTTAAATATACTGAGCAAATACCTACCAGAACTGATCAATTCCTGCAGGTACAGGAGGAATGGTTCCCGCTTCGCTTGTGTCGAAATGAATGGTATTTGCACTCCCGTAGACTACATTCTAAAGAACCTCATGACAAACCTACCTTCAAAGAACCTAAAGAACCTCATTTTTGATGTGCTGTATTAGATATTTTGTTAATATATATATTGCTCTAATGTTTCGCATCAACTTGAGACGTGAATGTGTGTGTTTATGGTGCAGGCCCGGGCGGCGGTGGCCCTCCAGGTGGCAAGTCATGGCGCCCCTGGCAGGGTGGAGGCCCCCACCTTCGTCAGGACTCTCAGTGACCTGGCAGCTAAGGTGGGCACCCGCGTCAGGTTCCTGGTGGAGCTCCGTCAGGCGCACGACGTCAAGGTGAGATGATCCTACAGGCTCGGGGTGTATTGTTGGGTGTACAACACACACACACACACACACACACACACGCACACACACACATACACACACACATACACACACACATACACACACACATACACACACACACACACACACACACACACACACCACACACACACACACACACACACACACACACACACACACACACACACACACACACACGCACACACACACACACGCACACACACACACACACACACACACACACACACACACACACACACACACGCACACACACACACACACACACACACACACACGCACACACACACACGCACACACACGCACACACACGCACACACACACACACACACACACACACACACACACACACACACACTCACACACACACACACACACACACACACACACACACACACACACACTCACACACACACACACACACACACACACACACACACACACACACACACACACACACACACACACACACTTTCTCTTTGTGACTACCGGTGATCAACTATAATGATCACCTTTAATTAACTATAGTGATCACCTGTGATCACCTATGACCATCTATAATGACGTATTGTGACCACCAGTAATGACCTATAATGAGTATAGGCTGGCTCTTGACCCTTGACCACCTGTAACCAGTCGTGATCCAAATTATGACCTTAGTATCTCATTCAGAGTTGACCTTCATATTTGCTGTAAATGTCCCTCTCGTTCATTGTTGATATACAACCCACAGCTGTAATACACTCATGTGTATACTTGTTGTATGTGACGTATGTGTTGTATGCGTCATTGTAGTGTACTAGGATGACGCATGTTGACGCAGACGGGTCGTGTGCGTGGGGTGAGTGTACTAGGGTGAGGTTGAGGGTCGTGTGTGTGTTTTAGGAACTAGGGTGAGGTTGAGCGGGGGGGGGGGGGCGGCGGCGCGCTACTGACACGTCCCTTCCTGCTGCAGGTGTACTGGTACCACAACCAGGTGGAGGTGTCGGAGGACCCCAGGTACCGGGTCCTGCACGAGGGTAACTTCTTCTGCCTCGATATCTCTCCCCTGAGCGTGGCGGACGAGGGGCCCTGGAAGTGCGTCGCTGAGAACTCCTCCGGACAAGCCTCCAGCAGCGCCTCCCTCAGGGTCATTGGTCAGTCTCTGTCAAGCACCTCCTTCTGCCCATTCACCAACTGTCCCTTCCTTTAGGGAGCCGGTCGGCCGAGCGGACAGCACGCTGGACTTGTGATCCTGTGGTCCTGGGTTCGATCCCAGGCGCCGGCGAGAAACAATGAGCAGAGTTTCTTTCACCCTATGCCCCTGTTACCTAGCAGTAAAATAGGTACCTGGGTGTTAGTCAGCTGTCACGGGCTGCTTCCTAGGGGTGGAGGCCTGGTCGAAGACCGGGCCGCGGGGACACTAAAATCCCCGAAATCATCTCAAGATAACCTCAAGATAACCTCCCCCCCCTTCCCCATACCCTATAAAGCTCTTGTTTACCCCATTGGCGTTGCCTTTGCTTTAGACTAACATATTGTCGTCGTTCGCCTTTCTACTCTCATTGTGTCTATTCCAATTGCTTTGTTACCTCTGTAATCTTTGCAATTATCTACCTCATTACTGCTGTTAATGTCTTTGCATCTTTCTCCACTTCTGTTTTTCATTTTGTCGTCTTTAATGTTCTCCTATTTTGCTTTATCTTTGTATCTCTTTCTTAGGGGCCCTGTTATCCTTCTCACACCTGTCTAATCGTTTATTTTTAATCTCCTACCCTATTCTAATCTGCCTACCTACTCCAGCATCCTCGTAAACTGCCCTCCTCGTTCTTCACTATCCTTGTCACTGTCCCCCTATCCCTACATTGCTTCTGTCTACTTCCTTGTCTTTGACACTATCTATTACTTTTAACTTCTACTGTCTCGCGGCTGTAGTCTATTGTATTTGTTCCTACGTTTCCTAGTTTCATTACCTTGGTTTGTTATCTTGTTCCATCAACCTGTTAAAGTAAATACTGTTTTTATGAAGAAAATATCATAAGTTTAAAGATAAGTTTAAGTAAACTTATCTTTTCCGTTGCATTCTAACTGACCTGTCACATTTAAGCTTGTAGCATAGTCCTCTCTCTCTCTCTCCTCTCCTCTCTCTCTCTCTCTCTCTCTCTCTCTCTCTCTCTCTCTCTCTCTCTCTCTCTCTCTCTCTCTCTCTCTCTCTCTCTCTCTCTCTCTCTCTCTCTCTCTCTCTATCTCTCTCTCTCATCAAGGTAATATGATGCTCTAATGACTTTCATATTCAGAAAGAAATCACACTGATGATATATCTGAGAAAATAGGAGGGTATGATGCGCGTCTGGTGCTCTACCAGACCGCTGGTTCGATCCCCGCTCTGCTCCAATGATTTTCTCAATGTTGACCAGACCACACACTAGAAGGTGAAGGGACGACGAGGTTTCGGTCCGTCATGGACCATTCTCAAGTCGATTGTGATCCAGGACGGACCGAAACGTCGTCGTCCCTTGACCTTCTAGTGTGTGGTCTGGTCACCATACTTTAGCCACGTTATTATGACTCATCGCTTGTATTTTCTCAATGATTATATTCTTACATTTATATTGCAACCCATATTTAGTATATATATATTAATTTAAGGAAAGGAAACTTAACAGGACAATAAGGGACTGAATGTCCGCCGAGGGGTATTGCCGTCTGTGACTGACCTCTTTGTTCCCGCCACAGTTCCGAAGGGCTACAAGCAGCCCGTGTTCCTGGAGGAACTGGAGGCTCTCCTCACCGCTGAAGGCACCGTCAGCCTCGAGTGTAAGGTGGTCGGGGTGCCCACGCCCATCCTCAAGTGGTACAAAGATGGAGTCGAAATCAAAGCAGGTAAAGACAGGGTTTCTTGTTGACCAGACCACACACTAGAAGGTGAAATGACGACGACGTTCCGGTCCGTCCTGGACCATTCTCAAGTCGATTGATACTTGAGAATGGTCCAGAACGGACCGAAACGTCGTCGTCCCTTCACCTTCTAGTGTGTGGTCTGGTCAACATTCTTCAGTCACGTTATTGTGACTCATCGCCTGTATCATTATGTACTTTGTAATGTGACCGTTTTGTATCTGTATTGAAATCTTGTACTATCTGGAGTTAATATTCATTTGTTGTCTTAATTGATAAAGATTGTCATGATGGATTATACATATGATGTAATTTAGTAATTATTCTTAAATAAGACCAGCCACTAATCCTCCCGCCTGCAGGAGACGTGTTCGCCCTCACCGCCAGCGCCAGCGACCCCACCTCCCTCGGCACCTACACCTGCGAGGCTCTCAACTGTATGGGCCGCTCCGTGTCCTCCTCCAGAGTGAGGGTCATATCCAGGGAGTCTTCGCTAAGACCTCCCTCTAGGTCAGTCATGCAGTCTACTTCCTTGGAGAGGTCACTCATGCAGCCTCCCTTGGAGAGGTCACTCATGCAGCCTCCCTTGGAGAGGTCACTCATGCAGCCTCCCTTGGAGAGGTCACTCATGCAGCCTCCCTTGGAGAGGTCACTCATGCAGCCTCCCTTGGAGAGGTCACTCATGCAGCCTCCCTTGGAGAGGTCACTCATGCAGCCTCCCTTGGAGAGGTCACTCATGCATCCTCCCTTGGCGAGGTCACTCATGCAGCCTCCCTTGGAGAGGTCACTCATGCAGCCTCCCTTGGAGAGGTCACTCATGCAGCCTCCCTTGGAGAGGTCACTCATGCAGCCTCCCTTGGAGAGGTCACTCATGCAGCCTTAAATTAGAGCATGTAGTCGTTCCTAGAAGCCAAAAAAAAAAAACTCATTGACAGAAAATGTTCTTCTGTCATCAAACTAATTGATAGTCCATGAGCGCTAGGCAGGGATTTATATCTGGTTTACAGCCTCCAGGGTGTAAACAATTGTGACATGACTCACTCATGCTCATGTTAGTGTGGCTATAGTGACATGACCTGCTCATAGTCAGGGTAGTGTGGCAAGTGACATGACCTCCTCATAGTCAGGGTAGTGTGGCAAGTGACATGACCTCCTCATAGTCAGGGTAGTGTGGCAAGTGACATGACCTCCTCATAGTCAGGGTAGTGTGGCAAGTGACATGACCTCCTCATAGTCAGGGTAGTGTGGCAAGTGACATGACCTCCTCATAGTCAGGGTAGTGTGGCAAGTGACATGACCTCCTCATAGTCAGGGTAGTGTGGCAAGTGACATGACCTCCTCATAGTCAGGGTAGTGTGGCAAGTGACATGACCTCCTCATAGTCAGGGTAGTGTGACAAGTGACATGACCTCCTCATAGTCAGGGTAGTGTGGCAAGTGACATGACCTCCTCATAGTCAGGGTAGTTTGGCAAGTGACATGACCTCCTCATAGTCATGTTAGAGTTACAACAATGTGAGTGATAGTGACGGTGATGAGAGTATATGATGGGGGGGGGAGTGAGAGTGATGGTAATGGTGGTACATGAGAGCTATGATGACATGGTGAGTGTAAATGCTGGTGATTGTGGTGAGAGTGAATGATAGTGACGGAGGGTGAGTGTGAGTGACACTGTGCGTGCAAATGAAGATGACTTGTGAGTGTGAGAGTGACGCTGTGGTTTGTGTTGCCCCCCACAGGAAGGGCCAGAGGTCGCCGACGCCGGTGGGCCCGCCACCGGTGCTGCTGGACCAGCTGGCTGACCGCAAGGTGAAGGTGGGAGACAAGGCTCGCCTCACCCTCAAAGGTAAACCTTCTGTATACTCCCTCGGTCCAACAACTTGGGCTGGACGGTAGAGCGACGGTCTCGCTTCCTGCAGGTCGGCGTTCAATCCCCGACCGTCCGAGTGGTTGGGTACCATTCCTTCCCCCCGTCCCCCGTCCCATCCCGAATCCATATCCTGATCCATTCCAAGAGCTATATAGTCGTAATGGCTTGGCACTTTCCCCCCCTGATAAATCCCTCCCTCGGTTGACGCTAATACATGTCCATACAATCATACATAAGCAGGAGCAGATGGAAGTGTTGCTGTTTAGACTTGGTTTAACCCATCAGTAATACAAACTCCACCATGAATTATGTTCATGTGAACAAATCCACAAGGGCCGTGACGAGGATTCGAACCTGCGTCCGAGAGCATCCCAGACACTGCCTTAATCGACTGAGCTACGATTTGTGGAACGAACAAATCCCTTGTGGATTTGTTCATTTGATGCATCACGTGAGTGTGATCTCTGTGTGTTATGTTCATGGGGTTTGTAGTTTGTGTTCGAAGTTGTCATGGCGGGTAAGAATCATCAGATACGCAGTAGGGGAGCGCGCGCCAGAGGTCTTCTGAAGGCAATTTTTGCCTCGTCCTACCGCCCGCGGGATGGGTATGGGGTGCATAATAAAGGAAGAAATTGAATTGTCCTTCAGGCGAAACTTGCTCCATGCTTCTAGCCTATTTTCTAAATATTTATCTGTAGCATATTCCCCCCTGTGCTTCATTATATTTCAGGGCAGACGAAGATAGTCAGAAAGTTCAACATTCAATAAGCCCAGGCCAGATTCACGAAGCAGTTACGCACGCACTTACGAACCTGTACATCTTTTCTCAATCTTTGGCGGCTTTGTTTACAATTATTAAACAGTTAATGAGCTCCGAAGCACCAGGCGGCTGTTTATAACAATAACAACAGTTAACTGGTAAGTTGTCATGTTTGTAAACTGTTTAATAAATGTAACCAAAGCCGTCAAAGATTGAGGAAAGATGTACAGGTTCGTAAGTGCTTGCGTAACTGTTTCGTGAATCTGGCCCCTGGTCTAAAGCTGCTTCACTAACTAAACCGTGTCCACAGTGGAGACGCCGCCGGAGGTGTTGTCGGTGGCGTGGTACAACAACGGCAGGAAGGTGGAGGAGAGTGACAGGTACCGTCTTAGCGACGAGGGCGGGGGGCGATACATGCTCGAGATCTCTCACACCGAACTCGGCGACGACGGGGAATGGAAGGTCGTCATCAAAAACGAGGGCGGGTATTCCACGTCTTCCTGTAATCTTATTCTATCAGGTCAGTTCTGTTAGTTTTAGTGTGTGTGTGTGTGTGTGTGTATGTGTGTGTGTGTGTGTGTGTGTGTGTGTGTGTGTGTGTGTGTGTGTGTGTGTGTGTGTGTGTGTGTGTGTGTGTATATGTGTGTGTGTACTCACCTATTTGTACTCACCTATTTGTGCTTGCAGGATCGAGCATTGACTCTTGGATCCCGCCTTTCCAGCCATCGGTTGTTTACAGCAATGACTCCTGTCCCATTAACCTATCATACCTAATTTTTAAAAGTATGAATAGAGTTTGCTTCCACAACCTGTTCCCCAAGTGCATTCCATTTTTCCACTACTCTCACGCTAAAAGAAAACTTCCTAACATCTGTGTGTGTGTGTGTGTGTGTGTAATTACTTAAGTGTAATTATAGTGGTGGAATCGTGGTGTCGCTCTTGGTGTCCCGTCTTCCCAGCACTCTTTGTCGAATAACATTTTCAAAGTACTGACGGTTTTGACCTCCACCACTTCCTCACTTAGCTTATTCCAACCGTCTACCACTCTGTTGGCAAAAGAAAACTTCCTAAACTTTTTCGGCACCTTTATTTCCTTTGCTTGAATTTGCGTCCTTTTGTTCGTGATGTTGCTGGTTTCTGGAGTTCCTCTTTTTCAATTTGGTTGATTCTTGTTAGTATTTTGTAAGTGGTGATCATATCACCTCTTTTTCTTCTGTCTTCAAGTTTTGGCATGTTTAACGCCTCTAGTCTTTCCTCGTAACTCTTGTATTTCAGTTCCGGAAGCCATTTTGTAGCATGCCTTTGCACCTTTTCCAGTTTCCTTATGTGTTTCTTGAGATTTAGGCACCATACAACTGCTGCATATTCCAATTTTGGTCTCACAAAAGTCATGAACAGTTTCTTTAGTATTTCATCATCCATATAATTAAAAGCAAGTGTGAAGTTGGAAAGCGACGCATAAACTCCTCTCACAATGTTCTTTATGTGTTCCTCTGGCGACAGCTTACTATCCAAAACCACCCCTAGTTCTTGTTGATCATTAGGGCTCTGTAATTCCATTCCACATAATTTGTAAGTTGTGAGTGGTCTATTTTCTCCGATTCCATATTCCATAACATGGCATTTATACCCATTAAATTCCATTTAACACTTGAGGATCCAAAGTCTTACTTAATCTAGATCGAATCGAAGGGCATTACAATCGTCTGCGCCTCCTATCTTCCCCAGTATCTTAGCATCATCTCCAAACCTGTTCATATAATTCTGTATTCCTTCTGGTAGATCGTTTATATAGACAATGATCATTACTGGTGCAAGAAGTGAACCCTGTGGTACTCCGCTAGTAACACTCCTCCAGTCAGATACATTGTCTCTGATTACAGCTCTCATCTGTCTGTCAGTTAGAAAAATTTTCATCCATGTCAGAAGTCTCCCTGTCACCTCTCTAGCATGTTCCAGTTTCCAGAACAGCCTCTTGTGTGGGACTGTCATAAGCCTTTTTTAGGTCCAGATAGACACATTCAACCCAACCATCTTTTTCCTGTAGTATCTCTGTGGCTCTATCATAAAAAAACAAAGTAGATTTGTTACACAGGATCTTCTACTTTGAAAACCACACTGTCTGTCCGTTATTATGTCATTACTCTCTAGGTGTTCAACCTATTTGGCTTTGACTATTGTTTCTAGTGTTTTGACTACCACGCTTGTTAATGACACGGGTCTATAATTTAGAGGGTCCTCTCGGCTACCATTTTTATAGATTAGTATTATGTGTGTGTGTGTGTGTGTGTGTGTGTGTGTGTGTATGTGTGTGTGTGTGTGTGTGTGTGTGTGTGTATGTGTTTCTGCCTATTTACGTATTAATTTAAGGGACTTCTAATATACTTCATGCGATATATATATATGTATAAATCTCAATATATTAATGAATTTAGGAGATGAGGATATTGGCGTGTTTACCCTGTGATGCATACAACATGGGCTTATCGTACACAGTTCCACGGAATTATCGAGCTCCCAGGTTCTTGGACAACCTGAGGGCGCTGCTGACGGATGAAGGGTTGGTGTCGTTCGAGTGCAAGGTGGTGGGGTACCCGACACCCATGCTGCAGTGGTTCAAGGACGACCAGGAGCTAAAGCCCGGCGACGTCTACCAGCTGTCCGGCACCAACTCCTTGGGTCAGTCTGTATATGTGTCTACTGCTGAGGTGCGGCCTCTTATGTATCTACATATATGTGTGTATATATGATTGTGTGAATTTATATACATGTATATACGTTTGCTTCATTGTGTTGTATGATTGCAAACAGTGTCACAATAACGGGACTGACAAATTTTACACCCAACCTACACATATGAAAATATAGGAAGTGAAGACGTTTCGCTCCAGGACGACCCGAAACGTCGTCACTGATTTGACTTTCAGATGTGTGGGTTGGGTGTCATATGTATGGGTTGGGTGTCAGATGTGTGGCTTTGGTGTCAGATGTGTGGCTTTGGTGTCAGATGTGTGGCTTTGGTGTCAGATGTGTGGCTTTGGTGTCAGATGTGTGGATTAAGTATCTAATTGCTTTACAGAGCCTTTGAATACGCGACATGATACCAATGATTTATTGAGGCCTTTATAAAAAAAAGTGTTATTTTCCTCTAAGCAAGTACTCGCCTTTACAAAAAACGTTTTCTTCTTATAGGCAAGTACTCGTGCATCGCGAGAAACTGCATGGGGGAAGCCCAGTCCACCGCTGAGCTCACGCTTGAGGATATCAAGTCGCACTTGAACGAGGAGGAGAAAGAGCAACTGCTGGCTACAAATGTTCCACCCAGGTTGGTGCCGTGAAGAAGTTCCACAGCTTGGATTGGGAGATTATCGTTCATCTTGGACTCTGGTTCGAGTCCAATAGTACTTGAAATCAACTTAGTTCTGCATTTTAAAGAAAATTAGTAATCCTGGTTTAAAGTGTTGTTTATGAAATTGAGTTATCTCGCGTTCTATTGTTTTTCCTGTGCAAATAAAGTGTTTTCCTTGTATAGAGCACATTAATATTGTATAGAAAAGCTGTGGCGGGGGGATATATCTTGGTGGGAAAGCTTCGCTGATGTGTAGCTTTTGTGGTGGACAGGTTCATCCAGGGTCTCCGGAGTCGCGACGTCAAGATTGGCGACCCCATCAGACTGTCCGTGCAAGGTTAGTCACTTGCCCTGTCACGCCTTCCCTGGGCACTTTCCCCAGTCATCCTCCCAGTCACTTGCCCTGTCACGCCTTCCCTGGGCACTTTCCCCAGTCATCCTCCCAGTCACTTGCCCTGTCACGCCTTCCCTGGGCACTTTCCCCAGTCATCCTCCCAGTCACTTGCCCTGTCACGCCTTCCCTGGGCACTTTCCCCAGTCATCCTCCCAGTCACTTGCCCTGTCACGCCTTCCCTGGGCACTTTCCCCAGTCATCCTCCCAGTCACTTGCCCTGTCACGCCTTCCCTGGGCACTTTCCCCAGTCATCCTCCCAGTCACTTGCCCTGTCACGCCTTCCCTGGGCACTTTCCCCAGTCATCCTCCCAGTCACTTGCCCTGTCACGCCTTCCCTGGGCACTTTCCCCAGTCATCCTCCCAGTCACTTGCCCTGTCACGCCTTCCCTGGGCACTTTCCCCAGTCATCCTCCCAGTCACTTGCCCTGTCACGCCTTCCCTGGGCACTTTCCCCAGTCATCCTCCCAGTCACTTGCCCTGTCACGCCTTCCCTGGGCACTTTCCCCAGTCATCCTCCCAGTCACTTGCCCTGTCACGCCTTCCCTGGGCACTTTCTCCAGTCATCCTCCCAGTCACTTGCCCTGTCACGCCTTCCCTGGGCACTTTCCCCAGTCATCCTCCCAGTCACTTACCCCGTCACGCCTTCCCTGGGCACTTTCCCCAGTCATCCTCCCAGTCACTTGCCCTGTCACGCCTTCCCTGGGCACTTTCCCCAGTCATCCTCCCAGTCACTTGCCCCGTCACGCCTTCCCTGGGCACTTTCCCCAGTCATCCTCCCAGTCACTTGCCCTGTCACGCCTTCCCTGGGCACTTTCCCCAGTCATCCTCCCAGTCACTTGCCCCGTCACGCCTTCCCTGGGCACTTTCTCCAGTCATCCTCCCAGTCACTTGCCCTGTCACGCCTTCCCTGGGCACTTTCTCCAGTCATCCTCCCAGTCACTTGCCCCGTCAAGCCTTCCCTGGGCACTTTCCCCAGTCATCCTCCCAGTCACTTGCCCTGTCACGCCTTCCCTGGGCACTTTCCCCAGTCATCCTCCCAGTCACTTGCCCTGTCACGCCTTCCCTGGGCACTTTCCCCAGTCATCCTCCCAGTCACTTGCCCTGTCACGCCTTCCCTGGGCACTTTCTCCAGTCATCCTCCCAGTCACTTGCCCTGTCAAGCCTTCCCTGGGCACTTTCCCCAGTCATCCTCCCAGTCACTTGCCCTGTCACGCCTTCCCTGGGCACTTTCTCCAGTCATCCTCCCAGTCACTTGCCCTGTCACGCCTTCCCTGGGCACTTTCCCCAGTCATCCTCCCAGTCACTTACCCTGTCACGCCTTCCCTGGGCACTTTCCCCAGTCATCCTCCCAGTCACTTGCCCTGTCACGCCTTCCCTGGGCACTTTCCCCAGTCATCCTCCCAGTCACTTACCCTGTCACGCCTTCCCTGGGCACTTTCTCCAGTCATCCTCCCAGTCACTTGCCCTGTCACGCCTTCCCTGGGCACTTTCCCCAGTCATCCTCCCAGTCACTTACCCTGTCACGCCTTCCCTGGGCACTTTCCCCAGTCATCCTCCCAGTCACTTGCCCTGTCACGCCTTCCCTGGGCACTTTCCCCAGTCATCCTCCCAGTCACTTACCCTGTCACGCCTTCCCTGGGCACTTTCTCCAGTCATCCTCCCAGTCACTTGCCCTGTCACGCCTTCCCTGGGCACTTTCCCCAGTCATCCTCCCAGTCACTTACCCTGTCACGCCTTCCCTGGGCACTTTCCCCAGTCATCCTCCCAGTCACTTGCCCTGTCACGCCTTCCCTGGGCACTTTCCCCAGTCATCCTCCCAGTCACTTACCCTGTCACGCATTCCCTGGGCACTTTCCCCAGTCATCCTCCCAGTCACTTGCCCTGTCACGCCTTCCCTGGGCACTTTCCCCAGTCATCCTTCCAGTCACCTTCTCTGTCACTTGCCTTGTCATTTGCCGTGGCACCTTCCCTGTCACTTTCTTACGTTATCATCCCTGTCACAATTGTCCTCTCACCTCTGTCATTTTCCTGTCCATTGATATAAACATCAACGAAGACTCTCCATTATAGATAATTATGAAAACTGAATTAACACTTATTTTGTAGCTTTGTTAAAATTAACACAATGCTGAGCGCATGGCATGAGACCAAGACCCAGAAAATCATGAACAAATCCACAAGGGCCGTGACGAGGATTCGAACCTGCGTCCGGGAGCATCCCAGACACTGCCTTAATCGACTGAGCTACGACAGGGTTAAAGAGAGTTGAAACCGAAGTTCTACTGAACTTACTGGATCCCGTAGCCTCTCCGAGGCACAAACCAGGCTTTTACACAACTCCCTCCCTGCACCCGAGCTATGTCAATAGGCCGTTCTCCCTTTTCGCCTTTACATCATTACATCAGACAAGCATACTTCGGATATGCGATGAATGAAGAATGTTGATTTATAGTTCGATGGGACAGACCTTTGGGCTCATAACTTTTGTTCATGTATTGGTGTAGGTTATGCATGCTTATTCAGCCCGTTCTCTCGCCTAATACGTCGCGCTTGCGACGAAATCTACCATTCTATAAACAACATTATATAAGCGACGTGTTAGGACAAATTAAAGCAGCTTAATATTAATGTTTTGTTAAACCTCGTTGTGGATAGGTTAGGTGGGTTGCTTGGGTTTGTAAGTTCCTGGTTAGGCCAAACAATTATATTTTTTTTACGGAGTGTCAAATAGTAATTAGTTTTATTAGTGAATTAGTAGCAGTTAGCATTGAGGCTGATTATAGAATTAGGATTTTCAATTCAACGCGCCGTTGACTGTAATTATTAGCGATGTCGGGTTAGTTATTGAATAATGTATGAGCATAAGTAACCAGCTGATCTCTCCCGTTACTTCCTGTGACCTCCTGTGACCTCCTGTGACCGCAGTGACGGTGACGCCGACGCCGGTGATCACCTGGTACCACGAGGACGAGATGCTCGCTGAGAGCCCCAAGTACCACATGTCCAGCGACGCCCCGGGCACCTTCCACCTGGACGTGTCCCACCTCGATATCTCCGACCAGGTGAGCCTTCCTTCCCTCCTTCCCTCCCTCCGCTATCTTCCTCTGAAGGACCACACCAGATCGGTAAATTCAGAGGGTAGCGGAATAGGTTCGAACTATGGTTAAATATGAGTAATGTTAAGAATAGATAGGGAAGCGTGGGATATACAAAGATTATATGGTAAAGAATGGGATATAACTATGCTTGATGCACTTATAAATTATATAGTGTACGTTTATCGAATGAGTTATTTCTGCAGTAATGTCATACCTAGCTTGGCTCTACTGGACCATTCGTGTTTGAATGCCTTTGTAATAAGATAATAAACTCATTCGGGAATCGAGTCACACTGTGTTGACCACACTGTGTTGACCACACTGTGTTGACCACACTGTGGTGACCACACTGTGTTGACCACACTGTGGTGACCACACTGTGTTGACCACACTGTGGTGACCACACTGTGTTGACCACACTGTGGTGACCACACTGTGTTGACCACACTGTGGTGACCACACTGGGTTCCCCTCGCAGGGAGAGTGGAAGTGTGTGGCGGGGAACGACTTCGGCCACAGCGTCACGGCGGCCTCCATCAAGCTGGTGATCCCGAGACACTACAAGAAACCCGTCTTCTTGGAGCCTCTCCAGGCGGTGCTCTCGCAGGAGGGCACCGTCAACCTCGAGTGTAAGGTGAGACTCAACACCTGTGTGGAGGACTCAACACCTGCTTCACTTAACACATGTTCTACAAACTGTTGTATTATGATCACTATTATAGCGTTATTTAATCATCAACATTTCCGTTCATTCATCACTTTACGAGATGTTTAGGAGACAATAATATCACGAGCCACTTTTCCTTTATTGAATCATACATACCCTTAGTGCTCGATGGAAATAATCTTTCATGTATATGTATCTTGAATGATACTCAAGGTACATGTATATGTATCTTGAAAGGTACTCAGGTACATGTATATGTATCTTGAAAGGTACTCAGGTACATGTATATGTATCTTGAAAGATACTCAAGGTACATGTTTATGTATCTTGAAAGATACTCAAGGTACATGTTTATGTATCTTGAACGATACTCAAGGTACATTTATATGTATCTTGAAAGATGCTCAAGGTACATGTATATGAATCTTGAAAGATACTCAAGGTACATGCATATGTATCTTGAAAGATACTCAAGGTACATGTTTATGTATCTTGAAAGATACTCAAGGTACATGTTTATGTATCTTGAAAGATACTCAAGGTACATGTTTATGTATCTTGAAAGATACTCAAGGTACATGTTTATGTATCTTGAACGATACTCAAGGTACATTTATATGTATCTTGAAAGATGCTCAAGGTACATGTATATGAATCTTGAAAGATACTCAAGGTACATGTATATGTATCTTGAAAGATATTCAAGGTACATGTATATGTATCTTGAAAGATACTCAAGGTACATGTATATGTATCTTGAAAGATACTCAAGGTACATGTTTATGTATCTTGAAAGATACTCAAGGTACATGTTTATGTATCTTGAAAGATACTCAAGGTACATGTTTATGTATCTTGAACGATACTCAAGGTACATTTATATGTATCTTGAAAGATGCTCAAGGTACATGTATATGAATCTTGAAAGATACTCAAGGTACATGCATATGTATCTTGAATGATACTCAAGGTACATGTATATGTATCTTGAAAGATACTCAAGGTACATGTATATGTATCTTGAATGATACTCATGGTACATGTGTATGTATCTTGAAAGATACTCAAGGTACATGTATATGCATCTTGAAAGATACTCAAGGTACATGTTTATGTATCTTGAAAGATACTCAAGGTACATGTATATGTATCTTGAAAGATACTCAAGGTACATGTATATGTATCTTGAAAGATACTCAAGGTACATGTATATGTATCTTGAAAGATACTCAAGGTACATGTATCTGTATCTTGAAAGATACTCAATGGTACATGTATATGTATCTGGAAAGATACTCAAGGTACATGTATATGTATCTTGAAAGATACTCAAGGTACATGTATATGTATCCTAACATTTAAAAAAAACTGCTTATACAGTAATTGATGAACATGTTCAGTTCACTATCGCCCAAAGAACAATAGATAAAGCACAATGAAATCACAGAAATATAATGTGTTTATGAGACAGTATTGAGAGACATACAATGGGATCGAACTTTATCCTTCCTCAATTATGGTGTTTTTGCTTACATTTATTAAATAGTTTGAGCTCCGAAGCATTACAAGGTTATTCATAATAATAATAACTTCGTGTTCTTATGTTTCCACACTCATCAAATTGTTTAATAATTGTAAGCAAAACCGCTATTATTAAGTGAAGATATAGAGGCTTCGTAAGTGGTTGCATAAATGATTGATGAATCCTGGGTCAGGGATGCAGGTTCGACCCCATTTTACGACCTCAATATTTTTCCTTGACCCAAAATCTCCAATATGTCATCAGGGAGGAGATCCGCTGACGGGTTGGGAATGATTACATAATTAGTGCTATTATCTACTCTCTATCCAGGTTAGGTTAAGGTTTGGTTATGTTAGGTTAGATTTCATTACATTTGGTTACGTTAATATAGTATATTTTGACGATAATGTGAAATATAGAATTCAAATTTTATTTCAGTGTGCCCGAAAATTCCCTTTACAGACAACCAAATTCTTGAAAAACTTTTTCAGCATACACTTTTTATATTTTTAGCCAACGATTTATATTAGAATAATGTTATGACTTGAGAATAGTCTCTGTTTACGACAACGGTTCATTTGCCAGTTTACACGTAGACTATTACTAGAACGGCAATATGCTTTCAAACCATCATAAATATTTAGGTAACTATTCAGGTGGTTTGAAGGGGGAAGGAGGGAAGGGGAGTTGTGGTTTCTCATGGTAATGGACTGCTGTGAGGACGGGCTCCAAATCTAACATATTGGGAAGAGATATAAGGAAGAACATAAGAATAAACGTAACCGCAGAAGGCCTATTGGCCCATACAAGGCAGCTTCAATTTATAACCACCCAATCCCACTCATATACATGTCCAACCCACGGTTGAAACAATCACGGGACCCCACCTCCACCACGTTACGCGATAACTGCTTCCACAAATCAACAACCCTGTTACCGAACCAGTATTTACCCAGGTCTTTGCTATAAGAAGCTATATGTGGTGCTGCTGCCCCCCTCTCTCCCCAGGTGATCGGGGTGCCCCAGCCGGTGCTCAAGTGGTACAAGGACGGCACGGCGCTGCAACCGGGAGACATCCACAGGATTATTAGCGGGGAGGATGGTACCTGCTGCCTGGGCACCTACACCTGTGAGGCCTTCAACGTCATGGGCTCCTCCTCCTCCTCCGCTGCCCTCCTCGGCTTCGAGGGTGAGTTGCTGCACCTCGAGGAACCTTCCCTCTGCCATCACCTGGTTCATACTGTGTCATAACGTGGTTCATAATGTGTCATAAGGTGGTTCATGTGTCATAATACGCCTTAACGGTTCATAATGTGTCATAACGTGGGTCAAAATATATCTTGGCGTGAGCATGCAGAAAGAAGACTTGGGTATACATTTAGAGGAATGCACATTGAGCTAAGGCGGCACTTGCTGTGTCCTCAAGATGTGAGCAACATGACCTCTTGCTTGTTCTTAGCTCTGTTGTTTGGATTCTAAGACCACTCTCATTATGAAATATGAATATACCACGATAAGTAGTTTTTTATTTCAGAACTATTACTTTTCTTAGCTTAATAATGTTAAAACATCATCCTCGTGGATAGTAAGGAAGTGTATCAGTACGATGGATATATACACATATACATATGTAGAATGTATATGTTATCATAAATAACTTTTTGCAAAAAACAGTTTCTTGGCGATCACTTTTTGAGCATATACCTGGAGCATACCTGGAGAGGTTCTGGGAGTTCTATTCCCCAAGCCCGGCCTGAGGCCAGGCTGCACTTGTGATAACTTGGTCCAGCAGGCTGTTGGAGCGGCCCACAGGCCCACATATCCACCACAGACTGTTTGGTCCGGTACTTCTTGCAAGAACTTATCTAAGTGCCTCTTGAATACACCCACATTTGTTCCGTCAGTATTTCTAATGCTTGCTGGGAGGGTGTTGAACAGCCGTGGACCTCTGATATTCAGTGTTCTTTGATTTTGCCTATGGCACCTCTACTCCTCACTGGTTCTATTCTGCATTTCCTTCCGTATCTTTCGTTCCAGTATGTTATTCTATTGTGCAAATTTGGGACTTGGCCTTCAAGTATTTTCCAAGTATATATTATGCAATATCTTTCTCGTCTCCTTTCCAGAGAGTAAATTTTTGAGAACTTTGAGACGGTCTCAATAATTTAGATCACCATACAGCATATGGTGTGCGTGTGTATGTCTTCCACCATCGCTTACAGGACTGGGTATATGGTACAGGACGGGTAGATGTTATATGGCAATATGCAGGCAACAGGCAATATGGGTATGGAGTACAGGAAGGGCATGGAGCACAGGACGGGTATGGGTACATGGTTCTGGATGGTTATGTGGATCAGGACGCGTATGGAGTACAAGATGGATATGTGGTTTATGATGGCTGTGGGGTTCAGTGCGGATATGGAGTACTTAATAATTGAACTAAACTATGGAAACCAAATTATATTCACATGTTCATTTCAGACAAACTGCTACAAAGAGAAGGAGACAAGATGGCGGAAGCTGTGGGGTTGGCGGACGCGCGAGGCATCGCAAGGAATCCTTCCCTGTCCACCATCAACGAGGAGCGCTCCTCCCAGATCTCCGTCTACGAGTCTGCTGTGTCCGAGGCGTCGGGAGACGAAGAGAGAGCAGACATTTCCGTCAGCATTGATGGCCGGGAAGTCTCGCTCTCACTCTACGAAACGCCAGATATTTCGGAGGCGGAAGCTAAGCAGATTGCAGAGATCTACGCTGATGAAATCTCCGATCATTTGTCGGGTACATTCCATTTTGTGAAGGTGGATTCCCTTTGTACGGAACGGGATTCCATTGGAGTTATATGCCGTGTAGTTAGAACACGTATTTTTTTATTTATTAGAATACTGATTAACAAATGATATATCATGTAAAACCCTGTAATATGAATTATGATTTGCAAGGAAAACTAATGTTTCTTCACATTTTTATGTTAGCTGCATATGTGATTAGTTTTGCTTTATCTGGCGTTACTGTTGCAGCTCACGAGAGTAATCAGGCAGAGCTACCTCCTCTTCGCTTCACACGAGAGACGTCTCGCAAGGGTCCACTCATCATGGAAGCCATGGTGATCGACGTCGAGAACGAGGCATTTGACGAGTACATGAGCATGGCTGACATTGTCTACGACGATGCTCGCACGGAGGCTGACGTGGAGGAGCTGTCCGCTATGGAAGCTGTGGTTGTCGAAGAGAGGGAGGCATTGCGCTCTGATATTGCTGATCTGCCCGAGATGGAGGTGTGGGAGGAGGAACACCTGTCAACACACACGGTATCGGCGGAGGGCAAGGCTGTGGCTCACATCAGCCAACAAGACGTTCTTCAACATGATCTTCGATCTCTTAGTGAGCAGGGTATAAGTTTACTACGAGAGCACGGTGAAGAGAAACGTGTTGTTGGCCGAGGTGAGGCCCTGGGTGTTGAGGAGCCACAGGTGATGAGTGCTGCAGCTAAGTCATTCATCACTGAGAAAGCTCACAGAGCTGTGGCAGAAGCTCGCGAGATTCCAGGTCTGAAAGTCGCTCAAAAAGAAGAACAAGCTGTATTGTCAGGCATCGGAAGCTTATTGAAAAGCGAGAAAGTGGAGAGAGTTCAAGCCAAGCGGTCTATTGAGGCTCGTGAGGCGGCAGTGGCAGAGCAACAACAGTATCTGTCTGAGGAAGGAACGCTCTCAGACATAACTCATATTGGCCAAGTTCTTGAACGATATCCAAGCTTTGTTACACAAGAGGCAGTGGCGGTGACCTCTCCAGAAGCGCTGGAACAAGCCAAGTCAATAAAGTCTGAAGAAAGGCCATCAAAGAAAGCCAAAACAGCTTCTGTAAAGAAAACTCAAGTTGAAGGTGTAACGGCGATTATTCAGTCACCTGAAATTTATGAAGGAGATGCAAAACTGTTGTCTGAGCAACAAATAAAATCTGAACAAGCTAAAGCTGTTATTTCGGAGCAAAAAGGTTACAATGTTACCAGCGCTGAGGTTATGGAAGATGTCGGCACTTTCGAAGGTGAAGCAGCAAGCCTTCAACATGCCCGAATGAAGGAAGCCACCCAGCGACAGGCTGTTATGATGGAGGAAGCCGACGTTGTTAGCGGTCAAGCTCCGGAGAGTCTGAAGGTGAAACAGGCCAAAACTCAGAAGGCAAAGGCTGGTGTAGTTTCCGCCACTGGCGTAGCTCAGCAACAGGAACAAGGATATTATACCGCTGCCCAGGACATTCCTGAATATTTCCAGGCCGAAGAGACTGAGGCCGATATAAGCGAATTGCATTCCATGTTGGAACCTATGCAACAAGCCGAACAATATGGATACGAACATGCAGAGGCCTTTGTGGGCTATACTCCAGAGCAACAAATGGCAATGCAATTAGATCCTAGCTATCGTGAGGCTTTAGCTGTGTCTGCCAGAGAAGGATATTACCAAGCTGATGAGCTTGCTTTAATGAGTGGGGAGGAGACCCAGGCTTATGCTCACCAGACTCTTCACGAGGCTGTGGAAGGCTACGAGCAGGTTGGAATTTCAGGCGACATCAGAGATATGACTGACTATATGCGTGCTATGAGTGATAGAGCCCAAGTCTTGACTGATACAACCAGAGAGGCACTTGTGGTACACGAGGCTGATGTTGACTATGCAAATCTTAACGTCTTTAACAAAGAAGACATGTCACAAATGTTGACAGTGGCCGAAGAACGAAGCGGATCACTGGCAGAATGTATTGTGGTGCAAGAGGCTGACTTGCAGTCAGAAGCAGCAATTATATCACAGCGGCCGGCTGCTCAGCCGGAAAGAGCTGTGGCTGGCATTGTTGAGGGTGCCGCAGAATCTGCTACAGTGGGCGAGCCACCTTTAATAGCAGAAATGGCTGCTGGTAAAGATGGAGTGCAAAAGACCCCAGAAGCCAGAGAGAAAAAACGGTCAGCAGCTGAATCTGCCTCCGAAGAGGAAATGGTTATAGCGTCACCTAAAAGTCAATCAGGTGTGATATCTCAGGCGGATGAAACAGTGGCAAAGAAAGCCAGAATTGAAGAGGAAACTAAAGAAGACATCAAGTCACAAGGTGACAAAGAGGCTGTAGCTGCAGTAGCTGGCTTGACACCGGAACAGATTCAAGCCAGAAAGGAAGAACTCAAGGCAAAAATGGAAATTCTTAGAGCAAGAAAAGATAACGAACTTGCTAGAACCCCAAGCAGTGAGTCTCTCACCTCAGAATCGCTTGAAACTGAAGAGCCTAAACTTGTTAAGGTAGAGGACAAATCTGACGACAAAACCAAAAGGAAAACTGAAGTAGACAAACCTGATCAGCCGTCCGATGATACTGAAGAAATTAATGCAGAAGGGGACCAATCTGCACAGAAAAAACGTAAAGCAAGTGATGAACCAACAATGAAAGAAGCTGAAATTTTGGAGGAAGATATCCTTACTGAAGAAACTTCAGATTATAAAGTAAAGAAAGTAAAGTCTGCTAAAGTCATTACCCCTGAGGCTGAATCTGCTTCACAGCAAGAAAAGATTAAGCACGATAAGAAAGTCGGGACTCAGGAAAAGGACGTTTCTGAGGAAAAAATGGTTTCCCCCGAAAAAAGTAGTGAAGATGATAAAAGTGCTTCAGTTAAGAAGAAACAAAAAGCAGATGACTTGCCCCAAGAAGAGGGTGTGTCTTTAAAAGAAGATTTACCACAGAAGACAAAGGAGCAGAAAATCGGTACATCTGAAGAAAAACGAGCTGCAACTGAAGACAAATCTGCACCTCAGGAAAAGGCTGCCACAGCGGAAGGGGTTTTGGAACAAGAGGTTGAAATTTCTGAGGAAAAAACAGTGCCTAAGAAAAAGTTGAGCGTCGTTGAAAGTATGAAATCGACATTAGCTGCTAAAGTTTCTGAATTAAAATCATCTGTAGCAACGGCGATTGGATTGAAAGTGGCTAAAGTTGAAGAAATTGTTCCACCAAAAGAGTCTGCTAATGACCTGAATGTTCCTGCTGATGCCGAGAAGGTTGATGTTGTCGTGGGTAAAGAGACCTGTAGCGGTGACACAGAAGCAGGTGTTGCTTTACACTCTACCGTAGAAAAAGTGGCTGAGTCTCAGGCAATTACTGACGAGAAAAAACAGGAAGCAGTGTCTTTGAAAGATAGCTTGGCTGCAAAGAAAGAAGAAATTTTAGCCAAAAAGCAAGAACTGCTCGCTAAACAGGAAGCTGCCATGAAGCAGCGAGAAGCCAGTGAAGAACCTTCCAGTGAACTGACGACAACCAGTGAAATAAGCACAGATACTTCCAGTGGTATGGAAACGTACGTGGAATTGAAGAAGCCAGGAAAAGATGCAACTGAAAGTAAGGTGTCCTCGACAAATGGAGAACCGACGGGGTCAGACCAGGCATACAAAGAGTCCACAATATCGTCTGATGCAACAGTATCCTTGAAAAAGGGTAAGACTTACGGCAAGGATGAAGCTACAGCTGAACTTTCGTTAGAATTGAATGGAAAGAAAGAAATACAGACGTTTATTGGCCTTGAAGAGTCTTTGAAGGAAACAGAATTACAATTTCTGAAGACTACAAAAGTTATGGAAGCAGCATTAGGAGAAGCTTCCAGCATATTTGAAAGCACAGAGGAACTTGAAGGGCATAAGGTCAAGGTGTTAGAAAGGAAAGCTGAACTACTAGAAACTACTGACGAAGGTTTTGTCGTTGATGGCAAAGTTCAGCAAACGTTATCCGACGTTGCTGCAAAGAAAGGAGAAGCAAAAATCACTGAATATTCTGAAAGCTCTTCAGTGCTAGATACTACTGAAGCGAGAGTTGCCAAAGAATTACAAAAAGAAGAGGAAACTGTCACTTCTGTTAAGAAGGAAGACCTTGTAAAAACAGAGCAAGACAAAAAAACACAAATCAAGGAGGATGCAGAAGCTCCTACATTAGTCGAAACGGTGGACAGAAAAGACCAAACAGTCGTCTCCACGGAGGATAAAAAAGTCAAATCTCCAGACGCTCTCTGCAAAGATGAAGTGAAAGAAGGAAAATCCCCAGAATCTGTCTCGGTAGATGATAGCGTCGAAGTTTATGTTGTCGAGGCTGAAGGCAAAATGGAACAATATGATAAGTCCACTGTCTCAACAGATGCATCAGTGTCGCTGAAGAAGAAGGAACAGACTCTCGGGAGCGGCGAGGCTTCAGCGAATCTCTTAATTGACCTAGAAGCAAAGGAGAGAGGAAAGAGTCTTACACTTGAAGTTGTCTCCAAGGACGATAAAACAGCTAAGTCTCCCAAAGCTGTTTCAAAAGATGATGATAAAGCAAAATCTCCTGAAACTATTTCCGAGGATGAAAAGAAAGCCAAGTCTCCGGGGGTTGACTCTAAGAAAGATGCCATGAAGGAACTCGAGGAAGCTAAATTGATGGCGGTAGAAGAGAAAGAAACTAAAATTGATGCCAAAGCCGCCTTGAAGCTTAAAGATGAAGATAAGGAAGCCCAATCGTCTGAAACTGTCCCCAAGGATGAAGTTAAGAAAGCCCAGTCTCCTGCAACCGTCCTCGAGGATGAAGTTAAGACAGCCAAATCTGATGTTCTCATTAAGGAAGATGTAAAAGAAGCCAAATCTCCTGAATCTGTCTCCGTAGATGATACCAATAGAGTTTATGTTATGCTGCCTGAAGGCAAATCGGAAGAATATGAGGAGACTGCAGTCTCAACAGATGCATCAGTGTTGCTGAAGAAGAAAGGCCAGACCTTCGGGAGCGGAGAGGCTTCAGCAGATCTCTCACTAGACCTTGATCCCAAGAAGAAAGGAGAGAGACTTGCACTGGAAGCTGTCTCCAAGGATGATCAGACTGTCAAATCTCCCGAAGCTGTCACCAAGGATGATAAGAAAGCCAAATCCACAGAAGCAGTATCTGGGGATGAAACGAAGAAAGAGAAATCCCCCAAAGATGTTCTCAGGGATGAAGTCAGTGTAGACATACCTCCCGAAGCCGTATCCAAGGATGATAAGGAAGGAAAATCTCCTGAAACAATATCCAAGGATGTTTGCAAAACTAAATCTCCCGAGACTGTCTCTGACGATGATAAAAAAGCTAAATCTCCTGAGGTTGTATCTAAGGGTGACAAGAAAGCCAAATCCCTCGAGGCTGACTCTGTAGATGATGCCAGCAAGATTTATGTTGCGCAACCGCAAGACAAAACTGAAGCATATGAGGAGTCCGCTGTCTCGACTGATGCGTCAGTGTCGCTGAAGAAAAAGGGCCAGACCTTCAGAAGCGGCGAGGCTTCAGCAGATCTCTCACTAGACCTTGAAACCAAGGAGAGAGGAGAGACACCTGCACTTGACGCTGTCTCCAAAGCTGATAAGACAGCCAAGTTCCCCGAAACTGCTTCAAAAGATATGACGGCTAAATCTCTTGAAGATGTTCTCAAGGATGATGAGAGTGCAACCAAAGCTCCCGAAGGTGTCTCAAAAGATGATAAGAAAGGCAAATCTCCTGAAGCTATTTCCATGGATGAAAAGAAAGCCAAGTCTCCTGAGGTTGTCTCCAAGAAAGACAAATCCCCCGAGGCTGTCTCTAAGAAAAATGCCAAGGAGGAACGAGAGGAGTCTAAATTGAAGGAGATAGGAGAGAAAGGAGAGATATCCGACGCCAAGGAGAGCAAGAAACCAAATATAATCGATAAGGATGCCAAGAGTATTAAAGACTCCAAGGAAGTCTCCACGAAGCTTAAAGAAGAAGATAAGGAAGCCGAAGCTTCTGATCTCCAGGACGGTAAAAAGCCAAGCATTAAGCCAGGTGACGCCCAGACGGTCAAGGACGCCCAAAAAGCAGTTAAGGACAGAGCGGAGAAAGTCGAAGCCCTCGAAGGAAAGGAAACAGCTGCTCAGGCCACCCAGGCAGCAAAAGCCGAGCTGAATGACGAGGACAGGAAGGCCAAGTCTCCAGAAGGAGAAATCAGTGAGCAGCCTAGCCTTCAGAAAGAGGATGCTGAGACTGCCAAGAGGGCTGAAGAGAAGGCTAAATTAAAAGGAGCGGCTGTAGCGAAGGAGGCAGAGAAGCCCAAGTCTGTGAAGGAAGATGAAACTAAATCTAAATTGAAGGAAGAAAAGTCTGGCATAATGGAAGTAGACAAAGCCAAGTCTGTAGAAGAAGAAGATAAAGCTAAGTCTAAATTGATGAAAGAAAAGGGTGAAGTAAATGAAGACAGAGGCATGTCTGCTAAGGAAGCTGAGGACAAGGCTAAATTGACAGAGGAAAAGGCTGAAATAAAAGAAGCAGACAAATCAAAGTCTGCTGAAGATGGTGACAAGTCTAAATTGAAAGAAGAAAAGACTGAAGACAAGTCTAAGTTGAAAGAAAAAATGGCTGAAGTTAAAGAAGCAGAAAGAGACAAGTCTGTTACAGAAGATGAAGCAAAGACTAAATTGAAAGAAGAGAAAGCTGGAGTAAAAGACGATAAAGACAAGTCTGACACGAAAGGTGTAGACAAGTCTAAATTGAAAGAAGAAAAGGCTGAAGTAAATAAAGCAGACGATGCCAAATCCACCAAGGAACTTGAAGATAAGTCTAGGTTGAAAGAAGAAAAAGACGAGGACAAGTCTGAACTAAAAAAAGAAAGGGCTGAAGAAAAGTCTCACTTGAAAGAAGAAAAGGCTGGAGTAAAAGAAGAAGACAAAGCAAAGTCTGCTAAGGAACCTGAAGACAAGTCTAAATTGACAGAACAAAAGGCTGACGAAAAGTCTAAATTGACAGAAGAAAAGCCTGAAGACAAGACTAAATTGAGAGAAAAGGTTGAAGACAAACCTAAATTGAAAGAAGATGAGGCCAAGTCTAAACTGAAAGAGGATGAGGCCAAGTCTAAACTGAAAGAAGACGAGGCCAAGCCTAAAGTGAAAGAAGACGAGGCTAAGACTAAAGTGAAAGAAGAAGAGGCCAAGCCTAAAGTGAAAGAAGAAGAGGCCAAGCCTAAAGTGAAAGAAGAAGAGGCCAAGCCTAAAGTGAAAGAAGACGAGGCCAAGCCTAAAGTGAAAGAAGACGAGGCCAAGCCTAAAGTGAAAGAAGAAGAAGCCAAGCCTAAAGTGAAAGAAGAGGCCAAGCCTAAAGTGAAAGAAGAAGAGGCCAAACCTAAAGTGAAAGAAGAGGAGGCCAAGCCTAAAGTGAAAGAAGAAGAAGAAGGCAAGCCTAAAGTGAAAGAAGAAAAAGCTAAGCCTAAAGAAAAAGAAGAAGAAGAGCCCAAGCCTAAAGTGAAAGAAGAAGAGGCCAAACCTAAAGTGAAAGAAGAAGAGGCCAAGCCTAAAGTAAAAGAAGAAGAGGGCAAGCTTAAAGTGAAAGAAGAAGAGGCCAAGCCTAAAGTGAAAGAAGACGAGGCCAAGCCTAAAGTGAAAGAAGACGAGGCCAAGCCTAAAGTGAAAGAAGAAGAGGCCAGGCCTAAAGTGAAAGAAGAAGAGGCCAAGCATAAAGTGAAAGAAGAAAAGGCTAAGCCTAAAGAGAAAGAAGAAGAGGCCAAGCCTAAAGTGAAAGAAGAAGAGGCCAGGCCTAAAGTGAAAGAAGAAGAGGCCAAGCCTAAAGTGAAAGAAGAAAAGGCTAAGCCTAAAGAGAAAGAAGAAGAGGCCAAGCCTAAAGTGAAAGAAGAAGAGGCCAAACCTAAAGTGAAAGAAGAAGAGGCCAAGCCTAAAGTGAAAGAAGACGAGGCCAAGCTTAAAGTGAAAGAAGAAGAGGCCAAGCCTAAAGTGAAAGAAGAAGAGGCCAAACCTGAAGTGAAAGAAGAAGAGGCCAAGCCTAAAGTGAAAGAAGACGAGGCCAAGCCTAAAGTGAAAGAAGAAGAAGAGGCCAAGCTAAAAATGAATGAAGAAGAGGCCAAGGCTAAAGTGAAAGAAGAAGAAGAAGGCAAGCTTAGAGTGAAAGAAGAAGAGGCCAAGCCTAAAGTGAAAGAAGAAGACGCCAAGCCTAAAGTGAAAGAAGAAGACGCCAAGCCTAAAGTGAAAGAAGTAGAGGGCAAGTCAAAAGTGAAAGAAGAGGAGGCCAAGGCTAAAGTGAAAGAAGAGGAGACCAAGCCTAAAGTGAAAGAAGAAGAGGCCAAGGCTAAAGTGAAAGAAGAGGAGGCCAAGCCTAAAGTGAAAGAAGAGGCCAAGCCTAAAGTGAAAGAAGAAGAGGCCAAGTCTAAAGTGAAAGAAGAGGAGGCCAAGTCTCAAGTGAAAGAAGAAGAGGCCAAGTCTAAAGTGAAAGAAGAAGAGGCCAAGCCTAAAGTGAAAGAAGAAGAAGAGGCCAAGCTAAAAATGAATGAAGAAGAGGTCAAGGCTAAAGTGAAAGACGAGGCCAAGGCTAAAGTAAAAGAAGAAGAGGGCAAACCTAAAGTGAAAGAAGAAGAGGCCAAGCCTAAAGTGAAAGAAGAAAAGGCCAAGCCCAAAGTGAAAGAAGAAGAGGCCAAGCCTAAAGTGAAAGAAGAAGAGGCCAAGCCTAAAGTGAAAGAAGAAGAGGCCAAGGCTAAAGTGAAAGAAGAAGAGGCCAAGCCTAAAGTGAAAGAAGAAGAGGCCAAGCCTAAAGTGAAAGAAGAAGAAGAGGCCAAGCCAAAAGTGAAAGAAGAAGAAGAGGGAAAGCCTAAAGAGAAAGAAGTAGAGGGCAAGTCTAAAGTGAAAGAAGAAGAGGCCAAGGATAAAGTGAAAGAAGAGGAGGCCAAGCCTAAAGTGAAAGAAGAGGCCAAGCCTAAAGTGAAAGAAGAAGAGGCCAAGCCTAAAGTGAAAGAAGAAGAAGGCAAGCTTAAAGTGAAAGAAGAAGAAACCAAGCCTAAAGTGAAAGAAGAAGAGGCCAAGCTTAAAGTGAAAGAAGGAGAGGCAAAGCCTAAAGTGAAAGAAGAAGAGGTCAAGCCTGAAGTGAAAGAAGAAGAGGTCAAGCCTGAAGTGAAAGAAGAAGAGGTCAAGCCTAAAGTGAAAGAAGAAGAGGCCAAGACTAAAGTGAAAGAAGAGGAAAAGCTTAAAGTGAAAGAAGACGAGGCCAAGCCTAAAGTGAAAGAAGAAGAGGCCAAGCCTAAAGTGAAAGAAGAAGAGGCCAAGCCTAAAGTGAAAGAAGAAGAGGCCAAGGCTAAATTGAAAGAAGAAGAGGCCAAGACTAAAGTGAAAGAAGAGGAGGCCAAGCCTAAAGTGAAAGAAGAAGAGGCCAAGCTTAAAGTGAAAGAAGAAGAGGCCAAGCTTAAAGTGAAAGAAGAAGAGGCCAAGCCTAAAGTGAAAGAAGAAGAGGCCAAGCCTAAAGTGAAAGAAGAAGAGGCCAAGCCTAAAGTGAAAGAAGAGGAAGCCAAAGCTAAAGTGAAAGAAGAGGAGGCCAAGGCTAAAGTGAAAGAAGAAGAGGGCAAGGCTAAAGTGAAAGAAGAGGAAGCCAAGCCTAAATTGAAGAAAGAGGAGGCCAAGGCTAAAGTGAAAGAAGAGGATGCCAAGGCTAAATTGAAAGAAGAGGAGGATGCCAAGGCTAAATTGGAAGAAGAGGAGGCCAAGGCTAAATTGAAAGAAGAGGAGGCCAAGGCTAAAGTGAAAGAAGAGGAGGCCAAGCCTAAATTGAAGAAAGAGGAGGCCAAGGCTAAAGTGAAAGAAGAGGATGCCAAGGCTAAATTGAAAGAAGAGGAGGATGCCAAGGCTAAATTGAAAAAAGAGGAGGCCAAGGCTAAAGTGAAAGAAGAGGAGGCCAAGGCTAAAGTGAAAGAAGAGGAGGCCAAGGCTAAATTGAAAGAAGAGGAGGCCAAGGCTAAAGTGAAAGAAGAGGAGGCCAAGGCTAAATTGAAAGAAGAGGAGGCCAAGGCTAAAGTGAAAGAAGAGGAGGCCAAGGCTAAATTGAAAGAAGAGGAGGCCAAGGCTAAATTGGAAGAAGAGGAGGATGCCAAGGCTAAATTGAAAGAAGTGGAGGCCAAGGCTAAATTGAAAGAAGAGGAGGCCAAGGCTAAAGTGAAAGAAGAAGAGGCCAAGGCTAAAGTGAAAGAAGAGGAAGCCAAGGCTAAATTGAAAGAAGAGGATGCCAAGGCTAAAGTGAAAGACGAAGAGGCCAAGGCTAAAGGGAAGAAAGAGGAAGCCAAGGCTAAAGTAAAAGAAGAGGAGGCCAAGGCTAAATTGAAAGAAGAGGAGGCCAAGGCTAAATTGAAAGAAGAGGAGGCCAAGGCTAAATTGAAAGAAGAGGAGGCCAAGGCTAAATTGAAAGAAGAGGAGGCCAAGCCTAAAGTGAAGAAAGAGGAGGCCAAGGCTAAAGTAAAAGAAGAGGAGACCAAGGCTAAATTGAAAGAAGAGGAGGCCAAGGCTAAATTGAAAGAAGAGGAGGCCAAGGCTAAATTGAAAGAAGAGGAGGCCAAGGCTAAATTGAAAGAAGAGGATTCCAAGCCTAAATTGAAGAAAGAGGAGGCCAAGGCTAAAGTAAAAGAAGAGGAGGCCGAGGCTAAATTGAAAGAAGAGGAGGCCAAGGCTAAATTGAAAGAAGAGGATTCCAAGCCTAAATTGAAGAAAGAGGAGGCCAAGGCTAAAGTAAAAGAAGAGGAGGCCGAGGCTAAATTGAAAGAAGAGGAGGCCAAGGGTAAATTGAAAGAAGAGGAGGCCAAGGCTAAATTGAAAGAAGAGGAGGCCAAGTCGAAACTGAAAGAAGAAGAAGAGGCCAAGTCTAAACTGGAAGAAGAAAAGTCTGAAACAAAGAAACCAGACAAAGCCAAATTTGTCAAGGATGCTGCGAACAAGTCTAAACAGAAAGAAGATAAGGCTGAATTAAAGGATTCAGAGAAAGCCAAACCTCTCGAGTCTACAGAAATAAGAAAGTCAAGCATTAAAGAGCGAAAGAGATCGAGTGTCAAATTAGGTGAAGTCAAGAAGGTCTCGGAAGCTGAGACAAAGGCCGAAGTCTCGTCGCAAGAGAAGAAAGGACCAAGCCCGAAAGACGACGACACACTGACGAAGGCTCCCGAAGCCAGAGTGAGGAAGAGATCAAGCGGTGAGGCTGACCAGAAGGACTTCGCAAAGTCCTCCAGAGAGGCGCAAGACAAGTCGCCCAAGGACCAGCGTGACTTCGAAGAGTCCTCCAGAGAGGCGCAAGACAAGTCGCCCAAGGACCTGACGACCGTGCGGGCCGCTGAGTTGCGGAAGCAGGAAGAAATTCTCAGGAAAAAGGAAATTAATATGAAAGAGGAACAGATTAGAGAAGAGAAAGAGGAGATGCTGAGACAACAGGAGACAGAACGTGCTAGGAAGGAGAGTGCGAAGCGCAAAGAAGAAATGGAAAAGTTAGAGAGAGAAGAAAAAGAAATGGCTGAAAAGAGGAAAAGGAAGAAAGAAGAAGAAGAAAGGCAGAGGATTGAGGAGTTAGAGAAACAAAAGAAGCAAGAAGATGAAAGGGCTGAGAGAAGAAGAAAGAATAGGGAAGAACAAGAAAAGATGATGAGAGAAGACGAAGAGCGACAACAACAAGAAGAAAAAGAGAGGAAACTAAGATTGCAAAAGAGAAAAGAGGAGCAGGAAAGATTACGAAAAGAAGAAGACGCACGAATGTTAAAAGAGGAGGAGGAGAGACGAGAGCAGAGAAGACAGAGGAGGCTAGAGGAAGAGAAAGCCATGAAAGCACTAGAAGAAAAGTATCAGAAGGACGAAGAGGAGAGAAAGGAGAGGAGACGGAAGGAGAATGAAGAGGAAGAAAGGCATAGAAGGCAAAAAGAGGAGGAGAGACGAAGACGATTGGAAAAAGAGCAGGAAATAAGAAGAAGACAGAAACAGAAGGAAATAGAAGAAGAGGATAGACGGCTCCAAGAAGAGGAAGAACGGAGACAAGAAAGAAGAAAAAGAAGAGAGGAGCACGACAAACTCATGGTCGAAGAGGAGTCGAAGAGGGACTCGGAATCTAGAAAGAGGATTGAAGAGGAAAAGAAGAGGCTTGAAGAAGAGCTACGTAAACGGGAGCTAAAGAAGAGGAGAGAAGACGAGATTTTGCAGCAAGGGGAAGAATTCTTGAAGAAGGTAAAGTGCACAAGTAGACACCAATCCCAGAGTGTTGAGTGCAAGCACAGTATAATCCCAGAATGTTGAGTGCAAGCACAGTATAATCCCAGAGTGTTGAGTGCAAGCACAGTATAATCCCAGAGTGTTGAGTGCAGGCACAGTATAATCCCAGAGTGTTGAGTGCAGGCACAGTATAATCCCAGAGTGTTGAGTGCAGGCACAGTATAATCCCAGAGTGTTGAGTGCAAGCACAGTATAATCCCAGAGTGTTGAGTGCAGGCACAGTATAATCCCAGTGTTGAGTGCAAGCACAGTATAATCCCAGAGTGTTGAGTGCAAGCACAGTATAATCCCAGAGTGTTGAGTGCAGGCACAGTATAATCCCAGTGTTGAGTGCAAGCACAGTATAATCCCAGTGTTGAGTGCAAGCACAGTATAATCCCAGAGTGTTGAGTGCAGGCACAGTATAATCCCAGTGTGTTGAATGCAAGCACAGTATAATCCCAGTGTGTTGAGTGCAAGCACAGTATAATCCCAGTGTGTTGAGTGCAAGCACAGTATAATCCCAGAGTATTGAGTGCAAGCACAGTATAATCCAGTGTTGAGTGCAAGCACAGTATAATCCCAGTGTTGAGTGCAAGCACAGTATAATCCCAGAGTGTTGAGTGCAGGCACAGTATAATCCCAGTGTGTTGAGTGCAAGCACAGTATAATCCCAGTGTGTTGAGTGCAAGCACAGTATAATCCCAGAGTGTTGAGTGCAAGCACAGTATAATCCCAGAGTGTTGAGTGCAGGCACAGTATAATCCCAGTGTGTTGAGTGCAAGCACAGTATAATCCCTGAGTGTTGAGTGCAGGCACAGTATAATCCCAGAGTGTTGAGTGCAAGCACAGTATAATCCCTGAGTGTTGAGTGCAGGCACAGTATAATCCCAGAGTGTTGAGTGCAAGCACAATATAATCCCTGAGTGTTGAGTGCAGGCACAGTATAATCCCAGAGTGTTGAGTGCAGGCACAGTATAATCCCAGAGTGTTGAGTGCAGGCACAGTATAATCCCAGTGTTGAGTGCAGGCACAGTATAATCCCAGTGTTGAGTGCAGGCACAGTATAATCTCAGTGTTGAGTGCAGGCACAGTATAATCCCAGAGTGTTGAGTGCAGGCACAGTATAATCCCAAAGTGTTGAGTGCAGGCTCAGTATTATTCCAGAGTGTTGAGTGCAGGCTCAGTATAATCCCAGTGTTGAGTGCAGGCTCAGTATAATCCCAGTGTTGAGCGCAGGCTCAGTATAATCCCAGTGTTGAGTGCAGGCACAGTATAATTCCAGTGTGTTGAGTGTAAGCACAGTATAATCCCTGATAAAAAAAATTAAAGATACTTTTTGTTATCTCGTACATAGTAACTTCTCATACTATGTAGACAAGTTACATAGTTCGTTCACTCCAGGAGGAGGAGCGCCGGCGGAAGCGGATGGAGGAACGCCGCCAGTGGGAGCTGGAGGAGCAGCGGGAGCACCAGCAGATAGAACACGAGTATGAGGAACGCCGCCAACTGGATCGGACCAAGAGGAGGATAGAGTACTCGGAGAAGGAACTCATTGACGCTAGCAAATATGGCTCCCTGGAGAGGCGGTCCCGCACCTACTCTTCTGACGTGAGTCCCAGCAGTGTGGTCCACCTGTGTCCCACCTGTTTGTCCCACTAGTGTGTCCCACCAGTGTGTCCCACTGACCCTTGCTTCAGACAGCTTAGGGAAAGAGGTCTTGAAGGCTCCTGCCAGCGGCCGTCTTCAGCAACAATGTGTCAGAGCTCCAGATAAGGAGTTGGCCACCTTCAGGTATCTTCAAGACGTCTCCCCTGAGCTGTCTGCGGCAAAGGTCAATGCAAAGATTGAGGGGAAGTGATTTTTAGTTTTTTTCCTATACTTTAGATGTAAGTAATCAGAAAATAACACTTACTACCAGGAACAAAAGTTGTGTTACTTTGTGTAATACATTTTTTGTATTCGTGAATGTACATTTATAATTTAGTTTACCAAATTTCTAAGTACATAATTAATTTATACAAGAAAAATTTCATAATAATATCCTGTTATTGATGATTATAAGTATGATGTGACCCCGATTATACTGGGATTGGTACACAGTTTTACTGTCAATTGTCACCACTCTAACGACATTACCTGGATGATGGTTGTGGGCGGAACAGAGTGAGGGCCCCGGCCGGAGGGACCCCAAGCGCCGGCCCAAGTTCAGCACCAAACTGCAAGACCGACAGACCGTCAAGGGGACCCGGGTCCGCCTCTCCTGCAACATCATCTACCCGGCCGACGAGGAACACCCCGAGATCGAGTGGTTCAAGGGCGGCTACCCCATCAAGGAGGACGAGCGAATTAAGGTCAGCATATATGTTGCAGCTTTTCAGGTCCGGGGAAATGTTTTGTTTGGGTATGAAGACTTTGTTGAGGTGTTTCGGCCTAGAAGGCGAGTTCGCTGCTGGAGTAGCGTACACCAGGGAGACACGTCTCCTCTATACATGTGGGGGTACGTCTCCTCTATACATGTGGAGGTACGTCTCCTCTATACATGTGGGGGTACGTCTCCTCTATACATGTGGGGGTACGTCTCCTCTATACATGTGGAGGTACGTCTCCTCTATACATGTGGAGGTACGTCTCCTCTATACATGTGGGGGTACGTCTCCTCTATACATGTGGAGGTACGTCTCCTCTATACATGTGGAGGTACGTCTCCTCTATACATGTGGAGGTACGTCTCCTCTATACATGTGGAGGTACGTCTCCTCTATACATGTGGAGGTACGTCTCCTCTATACATGTGGAGGTACGTCTCTATACATGTGGAGGTACGTGTCCTCTATATATGTGGAGGTACGTCTCTATACATGTGGAGGTACGTCTCTATACATGTGGAGGTACGTCTCTATACATGTGGAGGTACGTGTCCTCTATACATGTGGAGGTACGTCTCTATACATGTGGAGGTACGTGTCCTCTATACATGTGGAGGTACATCTCCTCTATACATGTGGAGGTACGTCTCCTCTATACATGTGGAGGTACGTCTCTATACATGTGGAGGTACATCTCCTCTATACATGTGGAGGTACGTGTCCTCTATACATGTGGAGGTACATCTCCTCTATACATGTGGAGGTACGTCTCCTCTATACATGTGGGGTCACGTGCAGAGGAGACATGACTTCACATGAAATTTTGTAAAATATTTGTTACTGGGTTTGGACTAGCACAGCACAAGAAAAATATGTAAAATTATTACGAAATAATCACTCGTTTATTATTCACTAGAGTGCTTCGTTATTATAAACTATTGTTACAACTAACCCAGATATGTTCAAATATTATACGCCTTTATTTTTTCACATACTGTTTAGTAAATGGCGCGTGAGCGGACCTTGTGTACACTCACAACAGTTGGTTACTGGCCCTTTGCTTTCTGAGATCGTCAACTACTGGTCTTTGTCTCCCTCAGATCATCAACTACAGATCCTTATCTCCCTCAGATCATCAATTTGTGCCTGGGATCGTTGTCTACTTGTGCTTGTTACCCCCCAGGTGGTGAACCACGAGGGCGTGGCGTCGCTGGAGCTGGCTCACACTTGCCGCTCAGACGCCGGCGAGTACACCTGCACCGCCAAGAACCGCCACGGTCGCGTCTCCACCACCTGCGACCTGCGAGTGAAGGGCGAGGAAGACCACAAGCCCAGCCCTCCCACCTTCACCACCAGCCTCAGAGGTGAGCTCTCGTCCTCGTCTGGCGGTGAACTGATCCTCTCCCTCTGGCGGTACACTGATCCTCTCCGTCTGGCGGTGTATACGTGATCCTCTCCCTCTGGCGGTACACTTATTCGTCCTCGTCTGGCGGTGTATACGTGATCCTCTCCCTCTGGCCGTACACTTATTCGTCCTCGTCTGCAGGATTATACAGTCGTCCATGTGAAATTTCTGCTGATTATATTGTTAAACTCACCCGTGTCCGGTGTTGTTAAACTCATCCGCGTCCGGTGTTGCAGAACGGTACGTGGTAGAGGACGACGAGCTGGTGCTGTCGTGTCACGTGATGGGCCACCCGCAGCCGAAGATCACGTGGTTGAAGGACGCCGACAAGCTGCCCGCCTCGCCTCGCTTCCACACCACCATCAACGAGGAGGGCATCTGTGAGTACTGTGGCCGGAGGGGTGTGTGCCCCCTTGCAAGCTGGCGGGGCATCCAGCAGACCTGGGGAATACAGCAGACACGGGGGCATCCAGCAGACACGGGACATCCAGAGATATCATTAGATACTAGCTCATACCCCCTATTTTAGTAGTAATATTGTATTATTTTTGACATCCCAGCGCTGGTGTGAGGTATCCTTAGTTATCCCAGCGCCTCTGAGGCATCCATAGTTATCCCAGCGCCGTTCTGAGGTCTCCATAGTTATCCCAGCCCCACTCTAAGGTCTCCATAGTTATCCCAGCGCCTTTCTGAGGTCCCCATAGTTATCCCAGCGCCTGGGATATCTCCATAGTTATCCCGACTTGTCAGTGCAACTCCGTTTTCCTTGAATTATATTTATTTCTGACCCCGGGGATTGAACCCAGATCGCTCGGTTATGGCCCGAGAATGTAGACTACTATGCTATAGGATCCCATATCATCTAGAGAGCTGTAGAATGTATGCCTCGCAGAGCGAGTATTCATTTTATATTTGATGATGCACGCAGGCAAACTCATCATCAGCTCTCCGCGCGCGGCCGACTCCGGCACCTATACCTGCCACGCCGAGAACAGAGTCTACCGTGATGAAATTTCAGGAACTATTCAAGTCCAAGGTAAATATTACCGTTTTCTTTTGAAGGTTTGCATTAAAGAAAACGTTGGTTTTTTAATGGGTAACATATATATAATTCTTTCATATTTTAAGCGGTTTAAATGGAAATGGTGATTTTTAGGGTGTAATGGCAAACTGCTGAGAAATGATATTTTTCCGTATTGATCTGATCACTTTATGAGTTGTTACAGTATTGGTTTGGTACTTGAACTGATTGGCATATCTCTCAGTCAGTCAGGTTATCCACCATTGTGGCTGGCCACTACCTGAATGGGTGATCACTTGAACAGTTTTGAATTTATTATGCACCCCATACCCATCCCGTGTATGGTATTGGAAAAGGTTGGCGGAAGGGACGTACTGTCCCGTTTTCTGTTTTGGGTTCTCTGGTAGGTTAGGATAAGGGCACTTTACATTGACCGTTTTCGCGACGTTGGGGAAACCTTTGGAGGACAGGCTGCTTGATAAGCTAGTTACACAGTTTTGTGTGAATTATTTTCCCAGGAAGGTCCAGGATGCACCCCACAATTTGATTTATTTCTGACCAGGGGATTGAACCCAGGTCGCTCGGTTATGGCCCGAGAACGTAGACCACTATGCTATGGGATCCCATATCATCTAGAGAGCTGTAGAATGTATGCCTCGCAGAGTGAGCATTAATTGTGTATTTGATGATGCACGCAGGCAAACTCATCATCAGCTCAACAGCAGTAAATGTGAAAGGATTTGTTTAATGGCCGCACCCTGGAGTCGAACCCGTGCTCCCCGAATATGAGTCGAGAACAAAGCCAACGGTACTACGAGATCTTATTGGTTGCCATAACTCGTGCTATTTCATAATTTTCTAAGAAATTCTTAATGCTAATCATGACATTTCCTCAGACGCTTCCTTCGAATCTGAAGGGAAATCTGCAGTTGAAAATAGTAGTTGGTGATGAGTTGTTGCTAGGAGTACTTACGTCTGATTATTTTAACAGCAAAAATGTAACATGAAAATATTATTTGAGACATGCTCGTCTCTGTTTTCCTAAAATATGTTCCTTGTGTCCTTCTCTGGGGGATAGACAGCTCATTCTCTTCCTTACTGAGGTCTTCCTACTTCCCGCCTTGTCTACCTCCTTGTCCCTCCCCTCCTTGTCCCACCCCTCCTAGTCCTACCCCACGTTGTCCCCACCCCTCCTAATCCTCTAGCCTCTCGTCCGACCCTTCCTAATCCTCTAGCTTGTCGTCCCACTCCTCCTTTGTCCAACCCCTCCTAGTCCCGACCCTGCCTTGTCTTACTCCTCTTTGTCCTACCCTTCCTAGTCCCGACCCCTCCTCGTCCCCTAGCTTGTTGTCCCATCCCTCCTAGTCCCATCCCTCCTAGTCCCGACCCCTCCTAGTCCTCTAACCTCTCGTCCCACTTTCTCGTCCTCCTGACACTTCCTTCTGCGCCACGTCCACATGCCTCCTTCACGTCAGCCTCCTCCTCCTCGTCCTCGAAGCTTCCTGGCCTCTGCCTTCCTCTTCCCCCTGACTCCTCGTCCTCCCCCTCCCCGCCTGTGATACCTCCTCCTCGATCTCTAGGAAATATGACAGCCAGATACTTATAATGTTTTACGAAACGTCACATGTTATTAGTCTATATGGAAAAATACCATCTCTTGGCCATTGCCGTTCCAGTCAAATAATCAAAGCCTTAGACTTAGAATAAAGTTGCATATATGGATTTATTGATTTTTTTTATAAACCTGATGTTCTTTGTCCCATAAACACAGGATGAATGTAATTCTTGTGAATGAGTGAAATATTCATATTATTACGTATTAGAAGTATGATGTTAATTTGATTTATTAAATTCTCAGCTCTCTTGGAGAAAGAACGTGAGTATAGTATTGCAGCCACCAAAGGTTTTCATGCTTATTCCCCCTGCTTTGGTTTCTTTAATATTACCACTCAACTAAACGACCCTCACTTCAGGCACTGAAACATGGCCCCCTCATTCCAGGCACTGGAACGTGGCTCTCATTCCAGGCACTGGAACGTGGCTCTCAGTCCAGGCACTGGAACGTGGCTCTCAGTCCAGCCACTGGAACGTGGCTCTCAGTCCAGACACTGGAACGTGGCTCTCATTCCAGGCACTGGAACGTGGCTCTCAGTCCAGGCACTGGAACGTGGCTCTCATTCCAGACACTGGAACCTGGCTCTCATTCCAGGCACTGGAACGTGGCTCTCATTCCAGACACTGGAACCTGGCTCTCATTCCAGACACTGGAACGTGGCTCTCATTCCAGACACTGGAACCTGGCTCTCATTCCAGACACTGGAACCTGGCTCTCATTCCAGGCACTGGAACGTGGCTCTCATTCCAGACACTGGAACGTGGCTCTCATTCCAGACACTGGAACGTGGCTCTCATTCCAGACACTGGAACGTGGCTCTCATTCCAGGCACTGGAACGTGGCTCTCATTCCAGGCACTGGAACGTGGCTCTCATTCCAGACACTGGAACGTGGCTCTCATTCCAGACACTGGAACGTGGCTCTCATTCCAGACACTGGAACGTGGCTCTCATTCCAGGCACTGGAACGTGGCTCTCATTCCAGGCACTGGAACGTAGCTCTCATTCCAGGCACTGGAAAAATAACATCCTTCCAGGCACTGGACCATAATAGGGCACATAAAGATAAACTTTAAAACTTTAAAACAAATCGTGCGTGAGCCCTTCTTCCTTCCATTAAAAATCTGATCTCCCAGCGAACTATTCGACCTAAATATGAACGTATTTGATTTTGTAATGCTTTCATTTAGCTTTTTTCATAAGTCTTTTATTTTAGCTTTTGTTATGGAATGAAGTAAAATTTTAAGTCTTGTTATATATGGTTGATTGTTAGTTTTGAGTTTGGTATATTATTGCTTATCATTATTTATTATAAAGTATATACTAATATTTACCTCATGGCCACATTTCCTAGTAATTTGAATACTCACATTGTAAAGGTCATATGATGATGAGCCTTCTCATATAGTGTCACATGGTGATGAGCCTGCTCACATAGTGTCACATGGTGATGAGTCTGCTCACATAGTGTCACATGATGAGTCTGATCACAGTGTCACATGATGATGAGTCTACTCACATAGTGTCACATGATGATGGGTCTGCTCACATAGTGTCACATGATGATGGGTCTGCTCACATAGTGTCACATGATGATGAGTCTGCTCACATAGTGTCACATGATGAAGAGCGTGCTCACATAGTGCCAGTATCTCACAGTATGACGAGTTACTATTTACAGTACACTCAACTTCCTTTTGTTTTCATTGGCTGGAGATATTGTGATAGGAAATATAGCATTTTATAGGAATACCCAGAAAATGGACAATTCGCCATGACGTCTACTGAGACTTGTATCACTGTATCTCTTAGTTTAGAGAAGATTAGCTCTTTTCTCAATGATAAATTAAGTCTAGACAAATCAGCATGAAGCTCAGATACGAATGTATTGTTCTCGTAAAGTGAACACTCACACATGTGGAGATTCGAAGAGCAAATTCGTCCTTCTTAACCTCGTGTTCCCTTGCAGGCAAGAATGACGAGCGCCCAGACGACAGCGAACGTCCTCGCTTCGTTAGCGAGCTTTGCGACCAGTTCGTTGAAGAGAACGGAACCCTCACTCTCCAGGTCGATGTGGCAGGTGTGTGTGTGTGTGTGTTCTTCTTTACAAATATTCCGTATTTTGTTGGAATTAATAAAAAATACGGTAACATAACATTCAACAAATCATTCCTTTTCCTGCCTTAATCAGTCGTAAGGATCTTGGTTATCTTGAGGTTATCTTGAGATGATTTCGGGGCTTTAGTGTCCCCGCGGCCCGGTCCTCGACCAGGCCTCCACCCCCAGGAAGCAGCCCGTGACAGCTGACTAACACCCAGGTACCTATTTTACTGCTAGGTAACAGGGGCATAGGGTGAAAGAAACTCTGCCCATTGTTTCTCGCCGGCGCCTGGGATCGAACCCAGGACCACAGGATCACAAATCCAGCGTGCTGTCCGCTCGGCCGACCGGCTCCCCGATCGTCCTGGGAGTCCTCGTCCTCGGGAGGACCACAGGATCACAAATCCAGCGTGCTGTCCGCTCGGCCGACCGGCTCCCCGATCGTCCTCGGGAGTCCTCGTCCTCCCCGATCGTCCTGGGAGCCGACCGGCTCCCAGGACGTCGAAGATCCCAAATAACTTTTGATATTGTTGGCGAAAACAGGTTTCTTATTTTCCAGGTAAATATTTCAGGATTCATACTCATATTTCGAGTAAAAAGAAACTTCCTGAAGAAGAGGACAAGGGGACATGCACTTTCAGGATTAGACTATAGTTGTGGAGGTACTAAGTTACACTCGAGATTAGTCTCTTCAAGTGGATACAGTGGGCTTGTACTTTGATTACAAGGTTACACTATTTGGATTATTTGGAAGCGAAAGACATGTAAATAAGTGAGGGAAAAGTTGATATCGAAATTAAAGCTACATACCTATTCATTCAGTTGTATATGACTAAATATATGGGTTATAGGTTTGAAGTTATACAAGAAATAGGCTTTTACGAAATGTTTCATATTTTTCGTTTAAAGTTTTGTATATGCAGATGAAGAGTCACAATTACGTGCTGAAGAAGTGTTAACCAAACCACACACTAGAAGATGAAAAGGCGTTGGACGTTCCGGTCCGTCCTGGACCGAAACGTCCGACCGTCCATAAGTAGTTGGGCACCATTCTTTTCCCCACCGTCCCATCCCAAATCCGTATCCTGATCTCTTCCCAGTGCTATATAGTCGTAATGGCTTGACGCTTTTCCCCCTGATAGTTCCCTTCCCTGGACCGAAATGTGTTTGTGTGACAGAAATAAGTTTGTGTGACAGAAATAAGTTTTGTACATAGGTGTTTGTATGAGAAGAGGCTCCTTATTGCAGGCTCTCCACCACCGGAGGTGCTGTGGTTGTTCAACGGCCGACCTCTACATCCTTCCGGCAAGTTCCGCATCTCAGCTACGGGGGGCACCCACACCCTTACCGTCTTCCAAGTGACGTCCAAGGACCTGGGCTGCTACTCCTGCAAGATCGCCAATAAGTTAGTCATTACTTCGTATTTTGACCTCGGAAACTTAAAGAGTGATTTCATTTGAAGTGTTTAGTGAATAATATGTCACAGTACTTTGAATGGAAAAATAAATTGACTCGTACATTTCAAGACGGGGCTATTGACAGTTCGAAGGAGAGTTGGAAAAATCCTTATGTCTTGGGTTATTAAAACACTTTTAGTGATTTATTCAGTTTTTAAATGTTGTGTTCATAAATGTTTCTATACTTACAGTTAGGTTTGTTTACACAAATTTACAGTAAATTATTTACCGAAAATTCATAATAATAACATAACATTTAATATATATATTTATACACTGTATAGTCAAGATTGTGATTTTAAAACTACATACAGTATTTATCAGTGATGTAAACATGATTAAAGTTGCACAATTCCCGTCCACTTACATAATCCTTTGATTATAATTATAATTGTTAAAGATTCATGTTTTTCATACGATAACAAGACATTATTAGGTTTTAGCTGCCGATCCGTTTAGTGCCCAAATCTACATGCTGAGAGTAGCGTCGAGTGGGTGAGCTCGTAACCCGAGTGAACCGCAGGAAGAATTTCTTTCATTGTTTACATGTGTAATCATTGTTTACATCTTGCTAGAAGCGTTTTGCAACATTAGCAGGCTTGCCCGTCAACACACTTGAACATAAACATGGCAGACCGCTAGAGGCCCCATTCAACGATGATCTAATAAATTTTAGAGGTACCTATACTCTTTATTAAGGAAAGAGTACGTGGGTGTATAGTCTGTGGGTGTATAGTATGTGGGTGTATAGTCCGTGGGTGAAGAGTAAGTGGGTGTTTAATACGTGGGTCTGGAGGGATGATTGCTTCGTGTATAATCAGTTCCGTGGAGACGACCCAGGCACTGACACTCAGTAAGAGTGCCAGTCTCGGGATAAAAAATAAAATAAAACCGGGGTAAAAATGAGCACAATTAATATGCAGTGTGACAAAGTCAAAGGAGAATTTTATATTAACTTGACGCGATTATTTTCTGATGCCACCGGAAGCGTTGTGATGTCGCCCATGACAAGAGACTTTACTCTGGTTTTGGGAGAGTTGGCAGGCAGGTCTTATTGACCTTAGGAAGGCTAGAAAGTCTGAAAGATCTTGATGAGCATTTTGTTTCGGCAAAGCAGTGCCCGTAATCTGAGACCACATCACAGGTTCAGAAATGAGAGGTTTCAAACCCATAATGTCTGTGACACTCACACAGGTATGGACAGACGTACACACTGAGTACCGTCTCCTTCGGCTCGCCGAAGTCCCGACGAGCGGTGGCAGCGGCTGAAGCTGACACAGAGATGCGAGCACCCACCTTCACCGCCCGCCCAGAGAGCATGATCACCGTCTTTAGGGATGACGAGATACGCCTCTGCTGCGCCGTCCAAGGCGAGCCCACTCCCAGGGGTAAGCCACATAACTCTCTCAAGTCTGTAGGGAACAGGGGTTTCCTCCCCCAAGTGGCAAGGGAATACAGGCTAACAAATATATATATATATATATCTATATCTAAGCTTTCTTTCACCATTTTGCTAATTAAAACAAATATATATTTCAACTTGATACCATTTTTTAAATAAATTTTTTGCCACTGATCAATTGTCTACTTATGGTAGTAGTGTTCGTTTGATATTTATGTTAAATAATTACCTAAGTGTAATTACCTAAGTGTAGTTACAGGATGAGAGCTACGCTCGTGGTGTCCCGTCTTCCCAGCACTCTTTGTCATATAACGCTTTGAAACTACTGACGGTCTTGGCCTCCACCACCTTCTCACTTAACTTGTTCCAACCGTCTACCACTCTATTTGCGAAGGTGAATTTTCTTATATTTCTTCGGCATCTGTGTTTAGCTAGTTTAAATCTATGACCTCTTGTTCTTGAAGTGCCAGGTCTCAGGAAATCTTCCCTGTCGATTTTATCAATTCCTGTTACTATTTTGTATGTAGTGATCATATCACCTCTTTTTCTTCTGTCTTCTAGTTTTGGCATGTTTAATGCTTCTAACCTCTCCTCGTAGCTCTTACCCTTCAGTTCTGGGAGCCACTTAGTAGCATGTCTTTGCACCTTTTCCAGTTTGTTGATGTGCTTCTTAAGATATGGGCACCACACAACAGCTGCATATTCTAGCTTTGGCCTAACAAAAGTCATGAACAATTTCTTTAGTATATCGCCATCCATGTAATTAAATGCAATTCTGAAGTTAGAAAGCATAGCATAGGCTCCTTGCACAATATTCTTTATGTGGTCCTCAGGTGATAGTTTTCTATCTAGAACCACCCCTAGATCTCTTTCTTTATCAGAATTCTTTAAAGATTTCTCACATAATATATAGGTTGTGTGGGGTCTATGTTCTCCTATTCCACATTCCATAACATGACATTTATTAACATTAAATTCCATTTGCCAAGTGGTGCTCCATATACTTATTTTGTCCAGGTCTTCTTGAAGGGCATGACAATCATCTAAATTTCTTATCCTTCCTATTATCTTAGCATCATCAGCAAACATGTTCATATAATTCTGTATACCAACTGGTAGATCATTTATGTACACAATAAACATCACTGGTGCAAGAACTGAACCCTGTGGTACTCCACTTGTGACATTTCTCCATTCCGATACATTGCCTCTGATTACTGCCCTCATTTTTCTATCAGTCAGAAAATTTTTCATCCATGATAGAAGCTTACCTGTCACCCCTCCAATATTTTCCAGTTTCCAGAACAACCTCTTATGTGGAACTCTGTCGAAAGCCTTTTTTAGGTCCAGATAGATGCAGTCAACCCAACCATCTCTTTCCTGTAATATCTCTGTGGCTCGATCATAGAAACTGAGTAAATTCGATACACAGGATCTTCCAGATCGAAAACCATACTGTCTGTCTGATATTATATCATTTCTCTCCAGGTGTTCTACCCATTTAGTTTTGATTAGTTTTTCCAATACTTTCACTATTACACTTGTCAATGATACAGGTCTATAATTGAGGGGGTCTTCCCTGCTGCCACTTTTGTAGATTGGAACTATGTTAGCCTGTTTCCACACGTCTGCTACGATTCCTGTACACAGGGATGCCTGAAAGATCAGGTGAAGTGGAATGCTGAGCTCAGATGCACATTCTCTCAGAACCCATGGTGAAACTCCATCTGGGCCAGCTGCTTTGTTCTTACCGAGCTCCTTTAGCATATTTTCCACTTCATCTCTAGACACCTCTATCCGCTCTATGTTGTTCTCTGGAATTCTTATTGTGTCTGGTTCTCTGAAGATTTCATTTTGTACAAACACACTTTGGAACTTTTCATTTAATGTTTCACACATTTCCTTTTCATTTTCCGTGAATCTGTTTCCCATTTTCAACCTCTGGATATTATCCTTTACCTGCAATTTGTTGTTTATGAATTTGTAGAATAGGCCCGGTTCTGTTTTACATTTATCCGCTATCCCTTTTTCAAAATTTCTTTCTGCCTCTCTCCTTACTGCTGTATAGTTGTTTCTCGCATCTTTGTATCGCTGGTATGTTTGGGGGTTTGGCCTCTTCCTATACTGATTCCATTTTTGTGTCTTTTGGTCTCTTGCCCTCTCACAATTTCTGTCGAACCAATCCTGTTTTCTGGCCCTGCATCTCTGTTTTGGTATAAATTTTTTTGTGCCTTTATCATATATTTCACAAAACTTGACATACATCTCATTCACTTCCTTGCCTAGCATCAAGTCTGTCCAATTATACTCACTAAAAAAATTTCTAAGGTCACCATAATGTCCTCTCCTGAAGTCTGGTTTTTCAACTGCTTCAACCTCCTTATTTTCTTCCAGCTTATAACGCATTGCATACTTTATTCCCAAAAAGACATGGTCACTTTTACCCAAGGGAGGAAGGTACTGAATGTCAAATATCTCTTCCTCCTTCCTGGTAAATATCAAATCTAGCATGGAGGGAACGTCCCCTTCCCTCATCCTCGTAGCTTGTTTAACATGTTGATACAAGAATGTTTCCAGGATGAGGTCTACAAATTTACAGGTCCAAAAATCTTCTGTTTTAGCTTCATATGCTTCCCAGTCTATGGATTTCAAGTTGAAGTCACCGACTATCAACAGTCGTGATCTATCGTTATCCGCTCTCGCTATAATCTCTCTCATTATTGTTATAAGACCTTCACGTTTACTATCTAGCTCCTCCTTTGACCATGTGCTGCTTGGCGGTGGACTATATGCATTTATTATCATTAGTTTATCATCCTCATGGCAGATCTCTAGTGCTATTATGTCAACTTCTTGTGGATTGGCAGTCATTATTTCGTTCACCTTTAGGTGTTCTTTTACCAGCACAGCAACGCCACCGCCTTTCCTAATTTTTCTGTCCCGTCTCCAAATTGAGTAGCCCCTTGGGAATATGACCTCATTTAAAATTACATCTTCAAGTTTTGTCTCCGTGAGTGCAACAATGTCTGGTGTCTGCAGCTGTATTACATCACTTAACTCCAGTATCTTCGATCTCACTCCATCTATGTTGGTGTATGCAATCTTCAGGAACTTGTTCCCCCTCTCCTTATTCTTCACTCCCCCTCTCTCTATTGATTTTGTTGGTTTGCCTTTATGTACCACTTTACTGGTTTGCCTACCCCTATCACTTTGTAGAAAAAAGAATTTATTTCTTCTTCATTCCTGCTCTCATTTAAATGTTTTGCCTCGGCGAGGTTCAGTTTCAGCTTCTCTCTATCTTCTTTTGAAAGATCTCGTCTTAACGACCACCCTTTCCCATCCTCATCACTTTGCAATTTTCTAGCATTCCTTAGTACTTCTTCCATCTGTTTGGCACCGTTTAGGGTGATCCTCAAAGGTCGATCTTTCCCTTTTACGTACCTGCCTATTCTCCTGTAGTCGCACACATTCTCTATGGTTGTAAGACCTTCCACGAGGCCAACAATTTTATCTACTACTTTAGCTTCTTCTACAGCTCTTTCTGACCTAGATGTTATCGCCTTTTCTTTGCAGCCAAAAATGATCAGGGACTTACTCCGATCAACTGTGTTTTGCACCAACTTCGGGTTAGATGCCAATTCTTTTCTCACTTCCAGCCTAATGTTTGTTTTATCTTGGTTGCTGCAGTGTTTGACTTCCTTTACTGCTTCTTCTATTTTTTCCTTCTCCTTGGCCACTTGTGCATAAGTGAGTTGCATATCTTTCTTGCACTGTTCTATTCCCTGTGTAACTTCCTCCATCTGTGCTGACAAAAGCTGTTTCTCCTGTTGAATTTCCTTGCCTAACCTATTGTAGTCATTTATGTTTAAATTTACTTTAACTTCTTCCAAAGCTATTTTTAAGAGTTTATTTTCTTCTTCCATGGCTTTGCAATTTGTTTCCAATTGATTCTTATCCTTGCACAAGTCTTTCACTAAACCCTCAAGACATAAAACTTTGCTATTCAAATGGTCATTACTTTCTTTCAATTTACTAATTATTTCTACATGAGAGTTCACTATAGTATCTAAATTTACCAACTTGTTATGTAGACTACTAATATCAATGCTTTCTTCATTGAATCCCTCAAAATCAAGCTCTGTTTTGTTTTTCCCCTTGCCAGTGGCCATCTTGAATGTTCTTCTCTGCACTGTAAACACTAGGGCAACTTTTTCTCATCCGATTTTTCACTTCCCTTAGCACTTTCCTGTTATCTCACCTATTTTTCAAGAGCACTATACCTTTATGTTCTCTGGGACACCACTCACTACCATCAACCTGTACTACAATACTTAGGATTGTTGAAATATGCTGGAGCTCCTCTGCTGCAAGTGTTGACCCTAGGGGTGTCACCTTTTTGAAAGTGGAGGCTTGGATCCTCGGGGAGGAGGCCCGCTGGCAGGAGGTGCGTAGACCCCCGGACAGTTTGGAGTCTCAGGGAATATGTAAGTCATTATCAAAGAGCACCCGGCAAGTGGCTCCTATGGGAGGAGCTCCCCGCTGGCTGGAGGGTACGTAGCCCAAGAACGACTGCGATTGCCGGGATATCTCTCAGATGAAGAGATATCATCTGAGCGTTATCACCGAGATATTACCGGGCGTTTATATCAGTTATTAAATGTTGGGAGGAAAATAGGCATGGATTTGATTTAGTGAATTTGTCAGTGAAAGATCTTATTGATCTTTCACTGACAAATTACCGGGTTATTGGTACTGAGCCACAGGATCTAATAACAAATGTTATTTCACTTCTGTTTAGGAAAAAATATATATATATATATATATATATATATATATATATATATATATATATATATATATATATGAACAAATTAAGTATGAAAATTATAGCGGTATTATGAAACCAATGTGTAGTGGGCAGTGTATGGCAGTTTAGTGATTTAAAAGCACAAGAAATTATTGAGAAGTTAGTCAGTAAAGAACAAGCCCGAGGTCCGTGTGGGTGATGGTGTGTTGGTCATGTATGTTCCCATAAACATGCATACAATGAGGGATGTAAAAAAAACATATTACACAGTTGGAGAGGAGCTGTGTACCAAGTAGTGAACAGGTGTGGGGGTTGGTCTAGTTCTGGTAAATGCTGTCGACCATATGTATGTAGGAAGTAATGCATGTTTGAGGTGTTAGTGGAGTAATGATAGTCCTGATTTGATATTGATGTAAGTGAAGGCATATGTGAGTGTGTGTGTGTGGTCACTCTAGTTGATGGTAAGGTTATTCAGCATTGGTTCCAGCCAGTAGGTGGATGGGTGACCTCGCGAACATTGTTCTCGACAATAGTATACCGAGGTAGGAATGCTATAGAAAGTTGCAAACTAAGTGTTGTGTTTCATGTGAGTAGTTGTTGGATTTTAAACGATTTGATTGTATGTAAATGTGATACGTACACATTTTTATGTCAAGAGTGATAGAGATTTATGTTGACTAATTGAAAGCTGTATTGTGTGGGAGAAGACGTGAGTGTAAACAAAAGTAAACTTATGGTGGTGAAGAATGAGATATATATTTATCGTGTGAGATAAATGTTAATTGTGAAGGGCTAGAAGCGGTTGATAAGTTTAAGTCCCTGTAATGTGTCGATGATAAGATATAAATTTGTGTAAACTATGTTGAGAGAAAGGTGAGTCTGAGACCTGAGCTGCATCAAGGAGCGGTAGTGTTGACCATAATGTGTCCGGATGTCACACAACAGTGTCATATAAGTGTCACATATAAGTGCCAACAGTGTCACACGTGTGGGGATCAGGGTTCGAGACCTCATACAGTTCGGGTGAATGGAACAGTGTCATGTGAACGTGAAACATTCATTAGGTCTGAGCAGTAGAAGTGGGCAATCTTGGGAGCATGTGTTACGAGAATAAAGCATGGGACTGGAACTGTCCTGGACAAAAGCGTCCACGAGGGCAAAAGTCGGTAAACCGAATGATTGACGCGAGCATACTGCGAGGGTTTGATCATAGGGAACGAATGGATGATGATAGACAAGTAAAGGGAGTCTATTCGATGGATGATTTTGAAGGTAAGCAGAGTCATTCGGGTGCACATTCACCCCCAATGAGGTGTACACCTTTAGAGGTATACATTGTCTGTACACCTTTGAAGACCGTGGAGTACACACAATGAGTGTGAAGGAGCGAGTATGAACGACACGCCAGATATATATATATATTTTTTTTGCAGGGATATTCCTGCGCGGGCCCTAAGCCTCTGGCTGGCACACTAAGTGTTGCTTGTTTCTGTTTTACTTGGGCGGAGTATGAGTATTTATGACTCGTATGGTCGCTTCAGTAAGATTTTGTTATATGTGTTTAACAACTTCTTCTGCTCTGTTGAATCTAAAGTTGAAATCTTAATGGGTTTGTAACTATGCACTGTGTTAGATAATGTTCCAGTGGTCTGTCGGGCATTTCTCCACAGTGCACGCCAGATATGGTAATGGATATATGTGCCTGATGGAAATGGTTTTTAAGAAGTCAGTGACTGTATTTATATTTTATGAAACAGTTCAGGAAGATCATTATATTCACCTGGTGTGTGAGAAATGACTGCTGGTGAGGAAGATATGGATGACTGCTAAAGTGTGGTACTGTTATTTATCCTCAAAGCTTTATAATGAGGATGATGTCATAAACAAGTGCAATTGTGTTCATATCAACAACCTTATTTCATCATATTGCATTTTTTTCCTCCGGAAATTGGACAATTGGGTGGTGATAACGTATATTTGATTTCATCCTCCCTCAGCTTGGTGTGTCTCCAATTCCGTCATTCGATGTGTACAACTTGAAGACGGATCGTGAATACCTGTTCCGTGTGACTCCGAGGAACAAGTATGGGTGGGGCGAGGCAGTGATGACCCCGCGACCCATCCGAGTGGGCCGCAAGATAGAGCACCCTAACCTACCCAAGGCTCTGCCACACCAAGTTCGCGCCATGCCCGGAGGACACATATCTCTCGATGCCCAGGTGCCGTCCTCTGTCCAGTGTGTCGCTTCAAATATACCTTTTATAAACAAATCCACAAGGGCCGTGATGAAGGTTCGAACTTACGCCGCCCGGGATGATCCCAGACGCTGCCTTAGTTGACTAGACCACGACATAATGGCCCTTGTGGATTTGTTCCTTTGATGCATCACGCTATTGTGATTTCTGTGTGTATACCTTTTATACTCTGTTTCCAAATGTAAGCAGTTCCCGTGGCGTAGTGGTAAAGCACTCGACAGGCGCTTCACGAGCGCTTATTGGCCTGGGTTCGTATCCTGGCCGGGAACGATTGACCGGGCACCAATCCTTAACTGTAGCCTCTGTTCACCCAGCAGTGAATGAGCACCTGGTTGTTAAACGATTTGGCGGGTCGTATTCCTGGGAAAATTAGCATTAAGGACCTGCCCGAAACTTTACAAGAATTTAAGAACGCTTGTATATAATAACAAAAATTATATATATATATTTGCTCAGAGAATTTCCACATACCCTTTACGGTATAGGATTATACAATAATATATCTTAACGTAAATATCCCTTTTTTTATTTTTTTCTGTAATATTGTACAAGAATAATTTAAGTACAGTATATAGACATCTTCTCTGTTGGTTCACAGATAACGGGAGAACCCATGCCGGAGATCCGCTGGTACAAAGACGGCACATTCATCGATGTGAACCGCTACCCAAGGTTCTCCTCCGTCTCCTCCGAGAGCTCGGTGAGTCCTGCGTCGCCTCTGTGGATCGCAGCGTTTCCGCGCTCGATACCTTACTCCTTTTTTTGGGGGAAGGCGAGGCTGTAGATTATTGCAAGATGCAGCTTGGTTTGTCAGCGCCTCTTCTGACCAGTTAGAGACACGTAGTGCTAATAATTTGTAGATATATATTAGTAGGTGCATGGTGCTGAAATGTAATTTTTGTTTGTAAATTAATTTTGTAATTTAGTGACCTCCAATTGGTGACAGTTGAGGTGGCCAGGTGAGGCGGACCAATCATGTGCAGCCCAACCTCCAAGAATGGTTGAATCTATAGTCACTATGGCTTAAGTCTACGAATTAGAGACTTCTGTACAATACAAAAAAATAATTCCTTTTGAACTATTGAAATTCTAAAAGCCATGACATAAATGGAGTAACTTTAAACTTACGCCAATATGGTCTAAATATGCGGTCTTAGGACTAACATGCACAACTTAGTCCTAATTGAGTATATATATTTTTTGTTAAAAGAGACACATAGAAAAAGTTAGATTTGTTTGCTTCCCTTGTCAATATTTTGTTTTGGCGCTATATGGGTCAGATGTGTACGGTGCTGTAGCAGGTGTGAGGGTACCATGTTTGTAGGTATGCCAGATGTGAGTGTGCCAAGTGTATTAGTATGCCAGGTGTGTGTGTGAGTGTGTCAGGTCTGTGAGTGTACCAGGTATATAATGTCAGGTGTATAATGTCAGGTGTATGAATGTACCAGGTGTGTGAGTGCGTCTGGTGTGTGAGTGTACCAAGTGTGTGAGTGTACCAGGTGTGTGAGTGAACCAGGTGTATAATGTGTCAGATGTGTACCTGTCAGGTGTGTATGAGTAGAGATCACAACCAATGGAAATTTGTGAGTTAGTAAGAGTGAATAACCATTAAAATATAATTGATCAACTAATTTTTAGAGTAAGCCAATGGTTATTCTAGTGAACATCTATATATGCCCCATGTTTGGTCAACTTTGGATGAATAAGATGAATAGACTAGAGTTAATAATGCATATTTCCCTAAGCATGTTATCATTTTGCTAAATAGAATGATGAGAATTGCATCTGTTAATACAAGTTCATAATTGTTTATATATATATATATATATATATATATATATATATATATATATATATATATATATATATATATATATATATATATATATATATATGTCGTACCTAGTAGCCAGAACGCACTTCTCTGCCTACTATGCAAGGCCCGATTTGCCTAATAAGCTAAGTTTTCCTGAATTAATATATTTTCTCTAATTTTTTTCTTATGAAATGATAAAGCAACCCATTTCATTACGTATGAGGTCAATTTTGTTTTATTGGAGTTAAAAATATCGCAGATATATGACCGAACCTAACCAACCCTACCTAACCTAACCTAACCTATCTTTATAGGTTAGGTTAGGTTAGGTAGCCGAAAAGTTAGGTTAGGTTAGGTTAGGTAGGTTAGGTAATCGAAAAACAATTAATTCATGGAAACTTGGCTTATTAGGCAAATCGGGCTTGCATAGTAGGCATAGAAGTGCGTTCTGGCTACTAGGTACGACATATATATATATATATATATATATATATATATATATATATATATATATATATATATATATATATATATGCAAACAAGCCTGAATGGTCCCCAGGACTATATACAACTGAAAACTCACACCCCAGAAGTGACTCGAACCCATACTCCCACAACTGGTATGTACAGGGACGCCTTAATCCGCTTGACCATCACGACCGGACATAAGGAAGTGATAGCCGAGGCTATATGAACCACTTCCCCGCCGGCACTCGGATGGTAATCTTGGGCATAGCATTTTATCACGTGTGCCCCAAAGAATGAGGTGATTTGATAAAATGCTATGCCCAAGATTACCATCCGAGTGCCGGCGGGGAAGTGGTTCATATAGCCTCGGCTATCACTTCCTTATGTCCGGTCGTGATGGTCAAGCGGATTAAGGCGTCCCTGTACATACCAGTTGTGGAGTATGGGTTCGAGTCACTTCTGGGGTGTGAGTTTTCAGTTATATATATATATATATATATATATATATATATATATATATATATTATATATATATATATATTATATATATATAGGTAAATAATCTTGAGATTTGATATAGTTGTTCTCGTCTGTTATATTGAGTGTTATCTTCTCCTTCGTTTGCTTCGTGATATTTAAGCCGCTGAGAAGTTATTACTGGTATTATTATATATTTAATATGTAGCTAAATCACACATTAGAGTTGTTAGACGACTAGCAGACATTGTAGTGGGTGGTGTGTGTACTCACCTAGTTGTGCTTGCGGCGGTTGAGCTCTGGCTCTTTGGTCCCGCCTGTGTGTGTGTTATGAGTGCAGTAGTGGTTGGAGAACGGCCATGAGCAGGTTGTAGTGCACATATATACCCTCCCTCCCCCTTTCCTGTGCACTCTAGGGGGGCCGTTATGCCTGCCATGGAACACTCTAATGATAACTCTGCCCCCCCCCCTCAGAGACGGTCAAAGCCATGCTTCGTCACTCATTAATGAGTAAACTTCCCCCACCCCTCCTCACACCCCTGGCAAGTGTAAATCCACCGCCCCCCCCCCCCCAAGTCGGCCCTTTTTTTTTTTGTTTACCTTTGAAAAGAGACTTCTCACTATATACTTCAGAGGATTTTTTTTCTTTTCTTTTTATTTTTGTTTGCTTCACTGGGTGACCTCTATGACCCCCCCCTCATTCGTGCCCGCCTGGCCGTGCCTGGTGTACGGCGCTGGTGACTAAACTCTTGGGCACGGCCGTTGTCCGCAGCAGCTGCACGACGTGTTTGGCCTAGTGAGCAAGGTATGGTGACAACCCGCCGCCCCCCTGTCCCCCCCTCACTCCGTTTGGTTTTATTTATTTTAGGCTTTTTGATGTAAAGTTAAATATAATATTTTTTTTTAATCTTTACTACATAAAAGTTCATATATTTGTGTGCTTTATTAGTGCCTATATTGAACTTCCTAAAGTGAACTACTAATTTAAATATATAATACATAGCTGGGTCAAAAGTTCAAGTGTACCCACTTCCTGTGTGTGATATTAGCTTAACCCCTAATGTATGTGTGTGTGTGTGTGTGTGGCAGCATGATCCCTAATGTGTGTGTGTGTGTGTGTGTGTGTGAGTGTGCAGCATGACCCCTAATGTGTGTGTGTGTGTGTGTGTGTGTGTGTGTGTGTGTGTGTGTGTGTGCAGCATGACCTCTAATGTGTGTGTGTTTGTGCAACATGTGTAGAGCTCGGTGTTACTGGTCAGGGAGAATGGCCTGGAACCTTACTCTCTCGTGAGATTGTAAACGCATGAACACTTGCTCCTCATGCGAGGGATAAACCATTGTACCCTTCTTCATCATGCCAAGGTGGTCGATTGATCCCCTACCATGTCAAGAGAAGGTGGTCGATTGATCCCCTACCATGTCAAGAGAAGGTGGTCGATTGATCCCCTACCATGTCAAGAGAAGGTGGTCGATTGATTCCCTACCTTGTCAAGAGAAGGTGGTCGATTGATCCCCTACCATGTCAAGAGAAGGTGGCTGATTGATCCTCTACCTTGTCAAGAGAAGGTGGTCGATTGATCCCTTAATTGATAAGTCTTTTTGCCAATGTAATCATATTTTTTTTCATTTATCTTTGTTATATTGATCTGTTTTTCAGACTTTATAACATCAGTACACGTGGATATGTTATTCAGTCTAACTATAACATTACATGTAGCATGTGTTCATTAGACTGACTCGATTGACACTAGCACACGTTTATATGTTCTTCAGACTGACTATAACACTAGTACATGTACCTATGTTCTTTAGACTGACTATTAGCACCACTCTTCAAGCTGGCATGATCTCACCACCTCTCTCTCCACATGTCAAGTCGCCGTCACCGCCACCTTCAGAGAACACTATGATGATGATCTCCCCTCTTTCCCCTACCCCAACCCCTTCGACACCACCTCCACGATCCTCCAGCTGATTGTGGTTAGCAGACCTTCAGGGCAGAGGGGGAGGCTGCGTAGTGTGTGGCAACTGACCACCACTCTGTCTTTGTGCATCTCGCAGGTGAGTCTGAGGATCGAGGACCTGCAGTGGGAGGACGAGGGGAAGTACGAGCTGGAGGTGGTGAACCCCGGGGGTCGCGTCACTTCGTATACGCGAGTCACGGCCACCAGCGACTGCTCCGTTCTCGAGGCCCAGGAGCGCATCAACAAGTAACTTGAAGATTTGTTCCTTAATGACTTTCTATTCTGCTCTGTCTGTCTGTATGTCTGTCTGTGGCTGTTATTGCCTATAATTATCTGTCTTCTCGTGTGTGTGTGTGTTCTCTCTCTCTCTCTCTCTCATCCTCTATCTCTTCTCTCTCTCTCTCTCTCTCTCTTCTCTCTCTCTCTCTCTCTCTTCCTCCCCTCTCTCTCTCTCTCCTTTCCCCTCTCTCTCTCTCCTCCCTCTCTCTCTCTCCTCCCTCTCTCTATCTCTCTCTCTCTCTCTCTATCTCTCTTCCTCTCTCTCTCCTCTCTCCTCTCTCTCCCTCTCTCTCTCTCTCTCTCTCCTCTCTCTCTCTCTCTCTCCTCTCTCTCTCTCTCTCTCTCTCTCCCTCTCTACCTCTCTACCTCTCTCTCTCTCTCTCTCTCTCTACCTCTCTCTCTCTCTCTCTCTCTCTCTCTCTCTCTCTCTCTCTCTCTCTCTCTCTCTCTCTCTCTCTCTCTCTCTCTCTCTCTCTCTCTCTCTCTCCCCTCCCTCCCTCCCTCCCTCCCCCTCCCTCCCTCCCTCCCTCCCTCCCTCCCTCCCTCCCTTCCTCCCTCCCCCCCCCTTCCCCCCACCACCCTGTTTAAGCCGTCTATATAAAATTGATCTGTCCGTCTGTGTGCCCTCTCCTACCGTCATGTGGTATATATTGGTTTAAAAAGAAGCTGTTGATTCAGGGAACGATGTTCCGGGTAACGTGATAATATGCGGGATCACTTGATTGTTTCAAGCGTAGGTCAGACATGTATACGAATGAGTTTGGGTGGGCCGTATAAATAGGCGCTGCCTCGTACGGGCCAATAGGCCTTAAGCAGTTCTCTACATGAACAAATCCACAAGGGCCGTGACGAGGATTCGAACCTGCGTCCGAGAGCATCCCTTCATATTTGGGGTCCCTTCATATTTATGTTCCTATTTTATGTTCTAGCTATTTGTCTAATCAAGACAACCCTCTTGTTTTCGCTTTCTTTAAGAATACTTTTCATTATGTCAATATTTCCTTTCATTAGATCTATGTAGTTCGAGGAAATACCCTTGAATTGGTTTTCAAGGGTGTTAGTGTCTTCTATGCGCCTGCCTACCTACATCTACTTTCTTATATGTTTCTTCTTATTTGAATAAGATTTTGTAAAAAGGTATTTGGAAACCACCCTGATCCCATGAAAAAGCTCCGCAAGTTGGCAGGTAAACAGAATATATATATATATATATATATATATATATATATATATATAAACAATACGTCACACCATCCTTGCTGAAAATTAGGCACCCAACCCACACATGGGAGAGTTCCATAAACTCTAGTGCATTTTGTCGTCCGGCTAATACCCACCCAAATTAATAACGAGATATTAACAACACTGTAAGAAACTCGGGCTAGATTCACGAAGCAGTTACTCAAACACTTACGAACCTGTACATCTTTTCTCAATCTTTGGCGGCTTTGTTTACAATTATTAAACAGTTAATGAGCTCCGAAGCACCAGGAGGCTGTTTATAACAATAACAACAGTTGATTGGCAAGTTTTCATGCTTGTAAACTGTTTAATAAATGTAACCAAAGCCGTCAAAGATTGAGGAAAGATGTACACGTTCGTAAGTACTTGGGTAACTGCTTCGTGAATCTGGCTCCTGGACCCTCTGAAGGGTGTTAAGAGACAAGACCCATGATCTACCAATCGGGTCAGGGGCGCTTGTAGTGAATGGAGTGCCTCTTAATGATACCAATATTTGGCCTTGTTTGTGTAAAGTATGTGTGTGTGTGCCGCTCCCCGCAGCAACCTGCTGGCGCTCTCCCGCCTCGACCTGGTGTCCAGCATGGCCCCTCAGTTCACCATGCGACTGCGAGATCGACGTGTCCAAGTGGGCTTCCCCGTCCGCCTCACCTGCCAGATCGTGGGCATCCCCAGGCCACAGGTCTCCTGGTACAAGGACGACGAGGCTATTTCTCCCGACGGTCAGTACTTTACCCACGTGAACTATCACTTGTGTATGGGCAACATGCCAGCCTGTATGGACAACATACTAGGTAGTATGGACAACGTACTAGCCCGTATGGACAACATACCGGCCCTTATGGACAACATACCGGCCCTTATGGACAACATACCAGCTAGTATGGACAAGATACCGGCCCGTATGTCGTTCGTTTATTAGTTATATAAGATTTCTTCCCGAAGCCATTTCAAATATTCATTTCTTTGGTTCTTTGATTCAATTATTTTAGATTTGATCGGCGCTCTTGCATGTTTATCTGTGTGGTCAGAGGGGGTTACCTTGAGGTGCTTCCGGGGCTTAGCGTCCCCGCGGCCCGGTCGTCGACCAGGCCTCGACCAGGGGGGGGGGGGGTGGTGGTTGTGAATATAACTTCGGCTCCTGATCACTAACTTCGATCAGTTATTTTGCCAAGTGTTATACTGAAACGAACTGTAATTCTGACAGTCAGTTGAGAAATGTAACGTTGATCGTTAATGCTGAATTTGATTGAATAATATTTCGATTTAATAATAGTTGGGTGGAATAATTTTTGGTAAGTTGTTTCTCGGGTGCAGGTCGGCGTTCAATCCCCGACTGTCAATAAGTGGTTGGGCACCATTCCTTCCCCCCGTCCCTTCCAAAATCCTAATCCTGACCCCTTCCCAGTGCTGTATAGTCGTAATAGCTTGGCGCTTTCCCTTGATAACTCCCTCGGGTGAGTAGAATGTCTTCACATCGTTGGTGTGAAGACAGGTCAATGATAAATGAATAATATGAATTTCATTCACTAGGATAATCTGAGATTCGATCTCGGACCTGGAAAATGCCAGACATCCAACCAGGCCCATGGATGATTATTGTGAACGTGATGTCATCCACGATATTGTGGATTGCATCTGAATTATGGTAATATTAGGCGTGGTAAGGTGTACTGTTGAGGGATGTTGACCGAGTAGTAGATGTTGACTACTCCATGTAGTCACTATAATGTGAGGGATCTATGAGAGAATGTTTGGAGCAGGGCGGCGGGACCGCCAGGCGGCCCCAGGACGCATGTCTGGGTTGACCTAGGACGCACGTCTAGGGTGACCCCGGGACGCACGTCTGGTGGTGACCCCAAGACGCACGTCTGGTGGTGACCCAGGACGCATGTCTGGGTTGACCTAGGACGCACGTCTAGGGTGACCCCGGGACGCACGTCTGGTGGTGACCCCAAGACGCACGTCTGGTGGTGACCCAGGACGCATGTCTGGGTTGACCTAGGACGCACGTCTAGGGTGACCCCGGGACGCACGTCTGGTGGTGACCCCAAGACGCACGTCTGGTGGTGACCCAGGACGCATGTCTGGGTTGACCTAGGACGCACGTCTGGTGGTGACCTAGGACGCACGTCTGGTGGTACCCAGGACGCACGTCTGGGAGAGTGACCCAGAACGCACGTCTGGGAGAGTGACCCAGGACGTGTTGCCACCGCTCAGCATCAAAGAACTTGTCTTCACCTTGTTGTGTCTACCCGCAGACGGTCACACCATGTGGCAGGAGGACGGCCACTTCTATACTCTGGAGATTTCCAGCTCCATCCACGACGACGCCGCTGTCTACTCTGCCTGCGCTGTCAACCCCTACGGCTCCGTCCTCTGCCGCTGCCGCCTTATAGTCGACTCCGGCCTAAGGTAAATCAGTCTCCGCTGCATAGTCGATCAAGTGTACTTTGCGTGTTCTTCACGATAGGTGTCTGATTTGATCTCAAAAGTCGCATATACATGCAAATTAGCAGGGAATTTGAGATATAACGTAAGTCACATCGAAAGTTAATTTGATGGAACGTAACTGTTTGGACTTTACTTGTCTGCACAGATCATACATCTCGCCGATGTTCTTGCGGGAGTTGGAGGACCAGAGCGCCCGCGAAGGCTCCACTATCACCATGCAGACAGTCATTGAGGCCTACCCCACCATCGGCGTCGTCTGGTATGTCCAACACCCAGCAGCTGGGCTCTGATAGTCTAATGGGGAGGGGAAAGATCATGGTAAGGGAAAGATCATGGTAAGGAGAGGGGGGAAAAGGAGGTGGGTTGGTGGAGAGAGAGAGAGAGGGAGGGTGGCCGTGGAGCACAATGACCATTCAGAGTGATGGCCAGGACGGTGCTGGAAGGCGGGAGAAAGTAAGTGGGTTGGTCTCCCTCAAGGAGGGAATACAGAACCTCCATTGTTTCACTCTTTTGGTAACACTGTCTTCAACATAGTTTGTTGCCATCGTTAGCTAGAGAATAGAATTGAATTTGCAGAATAGTTTGTAGCGATTTAATTAGATATCTTAGTGCTTTGGTAAACTTGATATGTACTTTGCTTATGGATGCTGCATGCGACTGTGTTATTATGTTCTGTTAGCTCTTCTGTATTTCTAAAGTTGCTTTACAAGTTTATCCACCTCTTCCACATTTGTTGACCCGCTATTTTTCCATTTATCTTTTATTTGTCCTTAGTTTTTACTATTTATTTGATAAATACTTGAGTTGTCTATCGCTCCTCCATTTTAATTCTCTTCGCGTTTCACATAACTTTATTTCCATTACTTCGTGTAAACCATATGTTATGAGCCACTCGTGGCACTTCCGACCTATATTTGTGTAGACTATGTATACTGGACGCGGTTTACAGCGGGCAGGGGCCCTCCTCTGGTATTTCCTCGAGCTGGGGAGGGTCCCTTCACCCTTGTATGAGGAGCCCCGGTTACGTGTCTTAATTTTATTATTGGCACTCCTTGTCGTCCAGTATTGATCCTCGTCCAGTTCTCCTTCTCCTTGAAGGGTTTTCTTATGTAAAATGTGCTTATTTTCTTTTTTTGATTTAACTGTTGTTCTTTTTGTTATTATCTTTTGTTTACTGTTGTTTTCTCCTGATTTTTCGTCTTCATTTTAACTTTTGTTTCCCCATCTTTATTTTAATCTAGATGTTTTTCTTGTGGGTTGTTCTTGCTTTTAGGAACTGTTTCATTCATTTTTCGACAGCTCTTCATTCAGTGATCACTTCCTTCAGCTGTTTAACCTGTTTCTTTCGCTCCTTTCTTCTCGCCGCTGCACATTCACGCTGTGCTGTCTGGCTGACTGCTTGCTCCCGCCTCCGCCGCCGCCTCTAGGCACCGAGACGGCCAGCGCATCAGGCCCTCCCGCAAGCACTCCTTCGACCTCGACGTGGACGGCGTGGCCACGCTGGTGATCCGCAACGCCGATTACACCGACGGCGGCATCTACACCTGCACCGCCAAGAACGAGATGGGCCACATCGAGTCCATGTGCCGCGTCTCCGTCTCCTGCACCGACTCCGATCTCGCTGTACGTACAACTCACCTAGTTGTACTCACCTAGTTGTGCTTGCGGGGGTTGAGCTCTGGCTCTTTGGTCCCGCCTCTCAATCGTCAATCAACAGGTGTACAGGTTCCTGAGCCTATTGGGCTCTATCATATCTACACTTGAAACTGTGTATGGAGTCAGCCTCCACCACATTGCTTCCTAATGCATTCCATTTGTCAACCACTCTCACACTAAAAAAGTTCTTTCTAATATCTCTGTGGCTCATTTGGGCACTCAGTTTCCACCTGTGTCCCCTAGTGCGTGTGCCCCTTGTGTTAAATAGCCTATCTTTATCAACCCTGTCGATTCCCTTGAGAATCTTGAATGTGGTGATCATGTCCCCCCTAACTCTTCTGTCTTCCAACGAAGTGAGGTTCAATTCCCGTAGTCTCTCCTCGTAGCTCATACCTCTCAGCTCGGGTACTAGTCTGGTGGCAAACCTTTGAACCTTTTCCAGTTTAGTCTTATGCTTGACTAGATATGGACTCCATGCTGGAGCCGCATACTCCAGGATTGGTCTGACATATGTGGTATATAATGTTCTGAAAGATTCCTTACACAAGTTTCTAAAGGCCGTTCTTATGTTAGCCAACCTGGCATATGCTGCTGATGTTATCCTCTTGATATGAGCTTCAGGGGACAGGTCTGGCGTGATATCAACCCCCAGGTCTTTCTCTCTCTCTGACTCTTGAAGTATTTCATCTCCCAAGTGATACCTTGTATCTGGTCTCCTGCTTCCTACTCCTATCTTCATTACATTACATTTGCTTGGGTTAAACTCTAACATCCAATTGTTCGACCATTCCTGCAGCTTGTCCAGGTCTTCTTGAAGCCTCAAGCTGTCCTCCTCTGTCTTAATCCTTCTCATAATTTTGGCGTCGTCAGCAAACATTGAGAGGAATGAGTCTATACCCTGTGTGTGTGTGTGTGTGTGTGTGTGTGTGTGTGTGTGTGTGGGCAGAGGAGGTTGAGCTTCGGCTCTTTGAACCCGCCTTAGTAGACTTATGCATGCGTCTCCGGTAACCGTTTCATACCTCTCGCCCATCCTCTGTATCAAGTATATAAAAACTCGGAGAGTAGCATTAGTGTCTGTATCCTGTGCTGTAGTCTCGGCTGGCTTCAGTTTGAGACATTACAAACACGAATGATACAATATTGCTGTAATTTGACAAAATATGTAAATTTAAAGTACAGAATAAGACACATTATTCAACTATTTATTACTAAATATTAAGACTAAATTTAGTATTAATATTATTGTTATTGGTAAATATTATTTAATAATAAGAATATAATATTATTAAATTTTAAGGCAGTTATATTTAAGACTAAATACTGTACAATATTTACCTATCTGTTGGTTTTAGATATGTTCTGCTCTAGTGTCTGAAGATCAGGCACTGACAGGTGTGTGGGAAGATCTGATAGTGACAGGTGTGTGAGGGAAGATCAAAGAGTGACAGGTGTGTGGGCGAAGATCAGAGCTTGTCAGGTGTGTGAGAAGACGAGAGAGAGAGAGAGAGAGAAAGAGAGAGAGAGATGTGTGAGGTGTTATCTAAAGTTGGGACAGATAGCCCCAGGTGAGGAAGGAATATCCTAAGTTGGATTAGGGCTTTGTAATTTACTAGAAAGCAGACAGTTAGCATAAATAAAATGAGTGAGTAACTGTTGTAAGTGGAGTGCCCCTGGGCTCAATCCTGGGTCCTCCGTTATTGACCGTATATGTAAACGATTTACACTCCAGGACTGAGCAGCAACATTTGCAAATTTACAGACAATACCAACCAAAAAAAAAAGAGCGCGAATAATGAATTCAGACGAGGACTACAAAATTGCAACAAGACGGTCTTGATAGGACTTTTAAAATGAACTAAAGATTGGCAGATGCAGTTTAATGCTGACAGATACTGATACCGATCTGATACATCTGATACCGATCTGATATTTGATCTGGTACCGATCTGAGGTAATAAGGATAGCTACCTGCAGATATCAGTTGGACAATCTTGAAGTTGAGATATCCGTGGGGGAAAAAGAACTGGGAGTCATTATTACTATGGAGGGTTTTCAGGGGGAGGGAAAGACTGGGAGGGGGAAATGGGAGGTGGAAACGGGAGAGGGAGAAGTTGGATGATTAGGGAGTGGGTGGGAGAGAGAAATGGTTGAAAGGAGGGGAGAGGTGAGGGTAATGTGGGGTTGGGGAGGAGGTGGAGGAGGGAGCAGTGTGTGGAGGGAGCAGTGTGTGGAGGGAGCAGTGTGTGGAGGGAGCAGTGTGTGTGGAGGGAGCAGTGTGTGGAGGGAGCAGTGTGTGGAGGGAGCAGTGTGTGGAGGGGAGCAGTGTGTGTGGAGGGAGCAGTGTGTGGAGGGAGCAGTGTGTGGAGGGAGCAGTGTGTGGAGGGAGCAGTGTGTGGAGGGAGCAGTGTGTGTGGAGGGAGCAGTGTGGGAGGGAGCAGTGTGTGTGGAGGGAGCAGTGTGTGGAGGGAGCAGTGTGTGTGGAGGGAGCAGTGTGTGGAGGGAGCAGTGTGTGTGGAGGGAGCAGTGTGTGGAGGGGGCAGGGTGTGTGTGGAGGGAGCAGTGTGTGGAGGGAGCAGTGTGTGTGGAGGGAGCAGTGTGTGGAGGGAGCAGTGTGTGGAGGGAGCAGTGTGTGGAGGGAGCAGTGTGTGGAGGGAGCAGTGTGTGTGGAGGGAGCAGTGTGTGGAGGGAGCAGTGTGTGGAGGGAGCAGTGTGTGGAGGGAGCAGTGTGTGTGGAGGGAGCAGTGTGTGGAGGGAGCAGTGTGTGGAGGGAGCAGTGTGTGGAGGGAGCAGTGAGTGGAGGGAGCAGTGTGTGGAGGGAGCAGTGTGTGGAGGGAGCAGTGTGTGGAGGGAGCAGTGTGTGGAGGGAGCAGTGTGTGGAGGGAGCAGTGTGTGGAGGGAGCAGTGTGTGTGGAGGGAGCAGTGTGTGTGGAGGGAGCAGTGTGTGTGGAGGGAGCAGTGTGTGTGGAGGGAGCAGTGTGTGTGGAGGGAGCAGTGTGTGGAGGGAGCAGTGTGTGGAGGGAGCAGTGTGTGTGGAGGGAGCAGTGTGTGGAGGGAGCAGTGTGTGGAGGGAGCAGTGTGTGGAGGGAGCAGTGTGTGTGGAGGGAGCAGTGTGTGTGGAGGGAGCAGTGTGTGTGGAGGGAGCAGTTTGTGGAGGGAGCAGTGTGTGGAGGGAGCAGTGTGTGTGGAGGGAGCCGTGTGTGTGGAGGGAGCAGTGTGTGTGGAAGGAGCAGTGTGTGTGGAGGGAGCAGGCAGTGTGTGTGGAGGGAGCAGTGTGTGGAGGGAGCAGTGTGTGTGGAGGGAGCAGTGTGTGGAGGGAGCAGTGTGTGGAGGGAGCAGTGTGTGTGGAGGGAGCAGTGTGTGTGGAGGGAGCAGTGTGTGGGAGGGAGCAGTGTGTGTGGAGGGAGCAGTGTGTGGAGGGAGCAGTGTGTGGAGAGAGCAGTGTGTGGAGAGAGCAGTGTGTGGAGGGAGCAGTGTGTGGAGGGAGCAGTGTGTGGAGGGAGCAGTGTGTGGAGGGAGCAGTGTGTGGAGGGAGCAGTGTGTGGAGGGAGCAGTGTGTGGAGAGAGCAGTGTGTGGAGAGAGCAGTGTGTGGAGGGAGCAGTGTGTGGAGGGAGCAGTGTGTGGAGGGAGCAGTGTGTGTGGAGGGAGAAGTATGAGGTACTCTCCCTCGAGGGAGTTCCAAGTCAACACGTCTTGGAATGTGACCTCCCTTCCTCACCAACAGTACGTCTCTCACAGACCCGCTGGGGGCCATAGGTCTCTCACAGACCCGCTGGGGGCCATAGGTCTCTCACAGACCCGCTGGGGGCCATAGGTCTCTCACAGACCCGCTGGGGGCCACAGGTCTCTCACAGACCCGCTGGGGGCCATAGGTCTCTCACAGGCCCGCTGGGGGCCATAGGTCTCTTTCAGACCCACTGGGGGCCATAGGTCTCTCACAGACCCACTGGAGGCCATAGGTCTCTCACAGACCCGCTGGGGGCCATAGGTCTCTCACAGACCCGCTGGGGGCCATAGGTCTCTCATTGACCCGCTGGGGGCCATAGGTCTCTCACAGACCCGCCGGGGGCCATAGGTCTCTCACAGACCCGCTGGGGGCCATAGGTCTCTCACAGACCCGCTGGGGGCCATAGGTCTCTCACAGACCCGCTGGGGGCCATAGGTCTCTCACAGACCCGCTGGGGGCCATAGGTCTCTCACAGACCCGCTGGGGGCCATAGGTCTCTCTCAGACCCGCTGGGGGCCATAGGTCTCTCACAGACCCGCTGGGGGCTATAGGTCTCTCACAGACCCACTGGGGCCATAGGTCTCTCACAGGCCCGCTGGGGGCCAGGTCTCTCACAGACCCGCTGGGGGCCATAGGTCTCTCACAGGCCCGCTGGGGGCCAGGTCTCTCACAGACCCGCTGGGGGCCACAGACCCGCTGGGGGGCTATAGGTCTCTCACAGACCCACTGGGGGCCATAGGTCTCTCACAGGCCCGCTGGGGGCCAGGTCTCTCACAGACCCGCTGGGGGCCACAGGTCTCTCACAGACCCGCTGGGGGCTATAGGTCTCTCACAGACCCACTGGGGGCCATAGGTCTCTCACAGGCCCGCTGGGGGCTATAGGTCTCTCACAGACCCACTGGGGGCCATAGGTCTCTCACAGGCCCGCTGGGGGCCAGGTCTCTCACAGACCCGCTGGGGGCCATAGGTCTCTCACAGGCCCGCTGGGGGCCAGGTCCCTCACAGACCCGCTGGGGGCCACAGGTCTCTCACAGACCCGCTGGGGGCTATAGGTCTCTCACAGACCCACTGGGGGCCATAGGTCTCTCACAGGCCCGCTGGGGGCCAGGTCCCTCACAGACCCGCTGGGGGCCACAGGTCTCTCACAGACCCGCTGGGGGCTATAGGTCTCTCACAGACCCGCTGGGGGCCAGGTCTCTCACAGACCCGCTGGGGGCTATAGGTCTCTCACAGACCCACTGG